TTTATAAACATGAACTCAATATAATTAAACTAAACAAATGATGATTAATATAATTTAAAATAGCATAATTATTTTTAATTTATAAAAATAGGAATTTACGTTTAAAAATGTCTAGCCTTAAAAAATAATTAGTAATTAGTATTACTTAATTAATATTTCTTTATCAAGAATTAAAGAATATTAAGCTTTCAACTGCTCTTGATCCGAGTCTATTCCGTTAGCTGGCATTGAGTGAATTTTCATTGATCATTCATACAAATAAGGGCATTTCTTTTCGCCTAATTTTTTTGGTTTCTTCCATATTTGATGTATATTGTTGTATATGAAGTCGCTATTGAACTAATTTTATTTCATTTTATTTTTATTTAATAAATCAACAAATGGTACTGTCAATACATATTCAAAACTATGATTTATATTATATGTATTGTAATAGCTTTACTTTATAAAGATATCTAATAATACAACGTTATACATAATTTCAACTTAAAAGATAAGAAAGCTTAAGAAAAAACTGTACAATAACGTCTATTACTGCCTCCGGCACGTTGGGGGAAGTTTATTTGCCATTTGGCCAGCTATGCCCCGAATGACAGCCATATGTGGTCAGAGATATTATAGACCTAAAAATCTAAAAAAGATAGTAAGTAGAGGAGGAAAATTAATTCTACTTAACAGCTAATTAAGCATAAAGAGAAAGAGTAAAATCTCCAGCTCGGTGGGGGACTCACAGCAGTAAGTGGTCAGAGATTTCCCCGGAGATAACTAAAAAGGCTACATTTTATAGAATAGAGAGAGAGTTCTGTTGAAAGTGAAAAATCATTATAATTAAAATAAATTACCCGAAAACGATAATCAGTTGTACATCTGGACAAGACGAATGGCAAAAAATTCCTTGTTGATCTACAAGGAACTGAAAAGTTGAGGTGACTTAAGAGAGCGCAGGAGTCCACCTCACCGATAACCAACTTGTGGAGAAAAACTATTCCAAGACCAGGATCTCACCTAAGACCACGTAAAGCAAAATGCAAGAATTTCTTCTAAACAGATTCAATACGTTCATTATGTTTTATATACTGTGAGCACCAGGCACAAGAGAAATATTCAAGCACAGGGCATACTATAGAAGTGTAAAGAAGTTTGGTAGTATAAGGGTCTGTAAATTCCTTGGACCATCGTTTTATGAATCCAAGTATACCCTTTGTTTTACTTACAATGCTAGAGATGTGAAGATTGAAGTTCAATTTGAAATCAAAAATAACCCCAAAGTCTTCAACAGTTGATATACGCTGCAATAACACATTGTCAATCGTATACGTGACTAAAAGGGGCAAAGTTCGATGAAAGGTCATGAACTTACATTTAGAACAATTGAGGTGCAAGTGGCTTTCTAAGCACCAAGGTTGCATGCAGTTCGGATCATCCTGCAGGCGTTGAAAATGAAGAGGGTTTTTGTCAGACAGAATACATAAGTTTCACATCAACAGCATACATAAGTGTATGAGAGTGTGACAAGATAGAGGGTAGATCATTAATAAATAATGTAAAAGACCTAGATGACTACCTTTAGGCACACCTGATGATGCAAAAACGAGCTGGGTCCTGTTGTTTAAATATAATGAAATCCAAAACATAAAGCGGCGGGAAATCTTATGAGACTAAACTTAAAGAGCAGAAGGTCATGGCTTACAGATTCAAATGCTTTACTGAAGTCAGTGTAAATGACATCAGTTTGCATTTTAAGAATAAAAGCATAACTTATCAGGGAAATACATTCAAGCAAATTGGTCGTAGTAGCCAGTCTCTTCATAAAACTATGTTGAGCAGGAAATATGATAGATTTGCAGAGGTGCTGCAAAGTGCCACAAACTATTTTTTCAAATAGTTTTGGTATAGCGGACAACTTTGCAATACCTCTGTAATTCGAAATATCAGACTTACCACCCTTTTTATATAAAGGAATTATAAAAGATTCTCTCCATATATCTGGAAAGATTAAAGAATCAAGCGACGAATTAAAGAGTTTAAGCAATGGTTGTAAAAGGTATCTAGAACACTCCTTGAGTACACAACTAGGAATATTGTCTACACCAGGAGAGTAAGAGGATTTTAAAGACTTGATAGCGGACAGTAGACAGCTATCAGTAATAATGGGAGCAAAAATAGAGTGGGAAGATGAAATGCAATAAGGATAAGAGGTATTACTAAAAGAAAAAGAGGAATATGTTGATTGAAAGAAGATGACAAGCAAGTCAGCAGCTTTAGAATCATTGCTATCTTTTATGTCATCATGTTGAAGGAAGGGAAGAAGTTTTACGTTTTGAGTTAACGAAATTATAACACTGTTTAGGGTCCTGTGAGAATTGTAAATTACATCGGGCAAGGTAATTATTATAACACTAGCAGGTCTTTCCCGTCTCTGCCGGGTTAAGTAAAATGAGTTTAAAATGAAAGGTCCGGGAGGAGTGCATCAAAAAAAAAAAAAAACTCAAGCTCATACTTTCTCTGACTTAGGAGAATCTGGATACTAGTTTGGTTATTCTAAGCTTTATACTTTCTGAGATCCTTGCGTTCATACAGACAGACGGACGAATGGACATGTCTATATCGACTCGTCATGTCATCCTGATCAATAATATATGTATGTACATATACAAGGTGCGTTCCAAAGTAAACAGGACTTTTTGAATCTAGCGCCCCCTGGTGGCGCTATCTATATGTCGACTGGTGCGTTAGAATCTGCTATTTATCGATTGTCCAGTGAGAATTTCATGACATTTCATCGATTGGAAGTGAAGTTATTGCGTTTTAAGTGTCAGTATGTTTGTGTTATCTGTGCAAAAATGGGCTTCGAACAAAAAGCCAATATTAAATTTTGTTTTAAAATTGGTAAAACTTTTATTGAAACGTTTCAATTGATGGAACAAGTTTATGGCGGTGATTGCCTATCCCGTAGCAGACTGCACGAGTGGTTTCAACGTTTTCCAAGTGGTCGTGAGGACATAAATGACGATCAACATGTGGGCCAATCAAAATTCGTTATCACCGAAAATTCCATCGAAACTGTGCGTGAATTCATAAAAAATCAGCCGAAATCATCATTGAAATTGATGGAAATGGAATTGAACATCTCTAAAACATCGATTTATCGAATTTTCACCGAACATTTGGGCTTACGAAAGGTGTGTGCACGGTTTGTTCCGCACAAATTGACTGACGACCAAAAATTGCTCTCATCGATCGACTCTTGTGACCGATTATTTGACCAAAAATCACATTTTAACCATTAACCACTCACCGTATTCACCTGATATGGCACCGTGCGACTTCTACCTTTTCGGAAAAATGCATTTGTCGGTGCGAAAATAGCGGGTTGCGGGAATTATAGCTTGGAAAAAATTTATTTACCCTTTTTCTAGCTTTACTTTATTTTTCACCATATATTTTTTTCCTTAGTAATAATAATAAAATCTATCAAAATAATCTTCATGCTCGAGGATAAGCCGTTTTTTTCTTCTTCGCTGCCTTAAGATATGTCTAAAGTGTATAAACAAAGTGTTCGCGAAGTGGAGCGGGTCTTCAGCAGGTGAATTTAGTTAAATCCAAATTAAGAAATGGTATGAATCTAAATACGCTTAACTCCATTTTAAGCTTAAGTTAGGTTTTTTGTAAGCAAAATAAACCATATTCATAATTATATTAATTAATTTTCAATTTAAGATATGGACTTAATCGTAAAAAGAAAATTATCCTGACTAAGAGACAGTGAGTTTAGATGAACAACTGTAGAATTTTTAGCTTTATTTTAATGTGAATTTTCTATTATTATTTTCACAAGAATCTCATATTATTATTATAAATTATGAATTAAGAATATAGAATTAATATGAAAACATTAAAACAGAAATTTAACCAAGAAAATAGTGTTTTTAAAGCCGGCTTGTTTTTTAGCTTATTTTGCCTTGGATTTAGCCATTTTTTGCAATCTAGCTGTTTTTGCTCAAAAAATAATGACAGCACTGGCTGTGTGACACAAGACGCACTCATATTCATACAAATTCAAATCATTTTCAATGTTTCAATTCGATTCCATTCTTTTCAACGTACCTTATGAGTAAAGCCATGCAGCTGTCTAATATGTATTTGTGTTATAAAATTGTGTATTCATTTTTGCGTTTAGTAACATTAAAAATTTTAATATTCGAAACATATTTTCATAGGGCTAGCCATGTTTTTCTTTCTAGAGTTATATTTAGTGGTCGTTAATAGTAAAACTGGGGAAACATCGATGTTTCGATTTTTTTGAGGGAAGAACTTCGATATATCGAAATTCCACTAACAAATTTTCAAACAAAAATTAATATACTTAGGGCACTTCGTTTTGATTTGTCTTATTTATAAAAGTGCAAAACGTTTTGAAACAAACGATATTTTCATAACTCCAAATAATAAACTAAAAACAATATAAAGTATAACATAAAAAATTATAGCTAATGACTAATTTCAGATTGATTTGATTGTTGATACTTATAAATAGGGCACTTCATTTTGTATAGTCCTCTTATTCATAAAGTTATGTTTTCTTATATAATACGAACGGTTTCAACACAAAACAATATTTTCATAAATTCAAAGAATATTTTGTTAGCATAACATAAAAAATATATATAATTCATGACTAATTATTTGAGATCCACTCATTTTTGTTAATAAAAATGAGCATGTTTGTATTAGGGGTTTTATTCAAAAATGCAAATTAAAGCTTTTACTAACATAGCTTTTCCCGCGATTTTTTTTTTCAAATAGTAAAAAACATCGAAAATCGGAAATAAAACATCGATGTTTGGAAAAAATTACAAAACATCGATGTATCGATTTTACATCGATGTTTCGCCCAGCACTACTGCCTTATTCCAAAAAGGGATGACTATTTAATGAACATTTCATGTTAAAATAGCATGTAATATCAGTGAATAATAAAGAAATCATAATATATACATATGTCTTTTATCAAAAACTTGGTTAAGGAAACCGAACAAAGCCCCATTAGGCGAAAAACAGACGCCGATGGGTCAAAGTCGGGCGAGAAGATATTTGTTAAAACGGCCACCGATTTGCAAAGACTAAAACTAGAAAAACTTATGAAAAATCCGGTAAAATTCCATATTTATTTCAAAATTTACAAATTTTACACTTGATGCCACTAAATAGTAGTTGTAAATACTGCAACTACTTCGTATATGTATATGAATATAGTATATGAATCCCAATCATAACATGTTCTTTAATAAATGGGAATATTGCAAATATTGAAATATCAAATGTTCGGCTGTTATAACGAATTATTTGTGGCATCCGTGTAAAATGCTTATAATTTTATCCATCTTTTTTATTCCTATGCAGGACAAACCAGTAGTAATACCTGAGCAACGGCGCGAAAAAGACTACATGGCTACGGTGCCGACATTCGTTCGCAATGTCATGGGCAGTAGTGCAGGGGCCGGCTCTGGTGAATTCCATGTTTATCGTCACTTGCGCCGGAAAGAATATGCACGTCAGAAGAACATACAAGCAAAAAGTGCACGCGAGGAGGCTGATGAAGCGTACCAACAAAAATTGGATGACAATCGTCGGCTAGCAGAGGAGCGCACCGCAAAGAAAAGAGCAAAGCGTATGAAGAAAAAGAATCGGGAAAAACGTTTACGATTAAAAAAAAACACGGGTTCAAAAGAGCACTCTAGTCAATCCAGTGAAAGTGCGTCAGATGAGCAGAATGAAGCAGACATGGCTATGGTACACAAAAAATTAACCAAAAGCGACTTGGAAACAGTAGAGACAGTAGATAAAGCTTAGAACAAGAAAAAACAGAATTGGAATCCAGCTGCTAACATTTATAGTAGTGTACATTATTAATATGAATTTATGTAAATATATCCCAAAATTCGTAAATGTACTTATGTATGTATGTATGTATTTTAGGGAGTTAGTTTCATATGTACTTTTGGAAAGGTACAAGAGTATACATATTAGGTTTTCGGAAAAATGCAGGTGCACATGCACTTTCTATTGTTTTTTCGGCTATTAGTTCAATATTAACTTCGTATACAAGTATGTATATGCATATAAATTAAAGAATCCAACAAAACTATTAGCGAAAAGAAATACCTTCCTTTTTATTTAAATTAAAAAAAGTTATGCTATTTTAATTTATATTAATTTGTTTATTTAAAGATATTTGAGTTCCTTTTTTAATAAAGAAATATCATAATATAAAAATAAATATACATATGTATACATATGTTTTCTTTTCATTCGCTACCTCTTTATTTGTAATACGTACATACATATACACATGTTTGCGCATAATTGCACACAACACATGCACGCACAAATACATAAATAAGTATAAGCACGTACATACATGCATATTTTATACGGTCATACTCGGGTAAAACCCGCGCAATACTCGGGTAAAACCTGCGCAATACTCGAGTAATACCCGAGTATATCTCGCGCAATACTCGAGCAATAACGGCAAACGCTCATTCTGCAAAGTCTGGTTTGTTTTGATCAGGACCCAGCCAACTTAAACGAAGTGACCGAGCGTGAACTGTTTGAAAGCAAACCAATCAAGGCTGGTACCCGTTCGCAACGAACAGAATACTCGAAGTGATCGAGTCTGAACCAATCAAGACCGGTGCTTGTTCGTAAAAATAGAAAGATTGCTCATGCAAGTTCGATCATAAGAAAAATGCTGAGAGTACTCAACTCGTTCGAGCTCATTTGCAGCCAAGCAAAGATTTGATTTGATTGAATTTTCAGCAACGGTGATCGAACATACTTATTCCAGTTCTCTGGTAGATACATATGTATGTATATTCTCGATTAGCATGGCTGTTCGTCCGTATGATCATATCTAGTGAACATCTGAAGACCTAAGAGACTATAAGGGATAGATAGACTTAATACACAATACAATTTTTACAAGTATACCCTCTAAGGCTTAGTACGAATGTATGTAACACACAGATGCACACGTGACAGACCCCACAAAGTATATATTATTGATCACTATAACAAGACGAGTCGATATAGCCATGTCCGTCTGTATGGGAGCAAGGATCTCAGCAAGTACAAGAGCAAGAATAATCAAATGTATTATCGAGGTTCCGGTAAGCCCACGTAGGTCAAGTTTGTTTTTTATTCTGATACACTACCCCGCTATTAGTGGCGGTTAGTAATTATGCCTCTGTATGTTAAGCTTCATCAGGATAGATCAATTATGTCGAAAGTTATAGCCATAAATGTAATCTCTGCCTTTGTTGTTGTTGGTGCTTTGACTTAATTCTGTACTGCACACGCACAGGCACGATTCTGTCTGTTGAGTACAGGCTATTTCGAGTTTGTATTTTTTTTCTGATGCACCCCCCACTCCCCCGTTATTCGTGCTTTTCCCATAACTGTAATTTTTCGAATTTTCAAACTAAAATTTGGTTATTACATCCAATTAGAGATTATGTGTCCGTATGTTAAGTTTCATCATGATTGGTCAATTCTGGAAAAAGTTATAACCATAACTAAAATCGCTGCCCATGCTCTTCCCGCAGCTGTTGTTGTTGCTGCTTTGGTTCAACTTTGTACTGCATATACATATACACGCATATAAACACGCAGAGACACGATTCTGATGTAAATGAAAACTGGTCATGAACATGTCTCCACTTTCGTATGTAAAAGGTGTGTTCCAAAGTAAACAAGACTTAAAAAAAAAAAAAAACATGGTTTTTTCGGCAAAATCAATTTATTTTATTCAAAATAGTCTCCTTCTGCTTCAATACAGCTTTTTGCACGATCCAAAAGAATGTCGAACGAGTGTTTTGGCTCGTTGGCCGGTATGGCCGCCAGTATGCCGGTGCAAGCCTTTTGAATGGCCTCTACGTCTGCATAACGCTTTCCTTTCATGGGCAAATCCGAAAAGGTAGAAGTCGCACGGTGCCATATCAGGTGAATACGGCGAGTGGTTAATGGTTGAAATGTGATTTTTGGTCAAATAACGGTCACAAGCGTCGATCGTCTGAGCAATTTTTGATCGTCAGTCAATTTGTGCGGAACAAACCGTGCACACACCAAAATGCGATAAATCGATGTTTTGGAGATGTTCAATTCCATTTCCATCAATTTCAGTGATGATTTCGGCTGATTTTTTATGAATTCACGCACAGTTTCGATGGAATTTTCGGTGATCACGAATTTTGATTGGCCCACATGTTGATCGTCATTTACTATATGTCCTCACGACCACTTTGAAAACGTTAAAACCACTCGTGCACTCTGCTACGGGATAGGCAATCATTGAATGTATTGAATATTTTAAATTTAATGAAATTATTATTATTGTTAATTCCACTTACAATTGCAAATTGCAAGCAGCTTATAATTTAAGCTATAGCAACTAAGGCCTTAAGCTTATGAGTATCAATTTATGTATTTACAATATGTTGACTTAAGTCTAGATTTACTTACATTGGTTTTTGTTTTTAACAAGGCGGCTATTTTAGGTTTTTTTTTTGTATCAGATGGTAGAGATTCACAGTTTTAAGGAATGCAATTGTTTGATAAATATTTTTGTGTGAAGTTATTTTTTGTATTGTTGATTCCAGAAATTTGGATCTTTCTTGTTGAAATTTAGTACACTCTAGAAATATGTGGTTCAAGGTTATTGTGGTGCTGCAATTGGGCATGTGGGTGGTGGGGATTTTTACATGAAATGTACAGAGTATATTAGGTTTGCGGGAGGTGAAAAATGTAACAGGCAGAAGATGGCGTGGCAGACCCCACAAAGTATATATATTCTTGATCAGCATGACAAGACAAGTCCTTCTAGCCCTGTCTGTCTGTCCGTATGAACACCTGGATCTCAGAGATCTAGAGACACCAAATTATGCACAAAGATGCCTTATGTGTGTACGCTGTGCAAGTTTGTTTTATTTTATGTATGACCAAGCAGTGCCCGCAGCTGTTATTACTGCTTTTCACAGGCTCACGAGACATACACAGACGTACACTTACAAGCATAATTAATCTACACATATGTACAGAGTATTTCAAAGTCGGGCACCCGACTTTAGCTTCTCTACTTGTTTTATTATAAAGCTGTGAGTGGGGTTGGTGTGTCCGAGTCGAAGTTGCATCAATTTTATTGTGTTTAGTCGTGATAAATTCGAGCTTGGAATATTGTTGTTTGTAGTTTTCCCAGAGTTTACAATTTTATGATGTTGGAAGGTGTGGCTGCTGTGGTTATTCAGTTTTTGTTTAATGTGTTTTCGTATATCTGATGAGTTCAAATTCTGTTCTATTTTAAGGGGGTATTCGTATATCTGATGAGTTCAAATTCTGTTCTATTTTAAAGGGGTATTTAAGAGCATTTTGTGCGGTTTTATCTGTCATTTCATTTCCCGATATTTGACAGTGTCCTGGAACCCAGATAAATAGAAATTTGTATGTACCCCAAATATTCGCGAATGCACAGCCGAGTGTCAAACCTAACTCCTAGGTAGGTGATGGAACAGTTGGATGCCACTGGCAGACCTCCAATTCGGATGTGCGCCTGCTCTACCGCCTTTCGTCTACTGATGAGGACAGCATCGGTTTTCTCTGCTGCTAGTTCAAGGCTAACTGTGAATAACCAACACATTATCGGTTGTATGCTGCGATTACACGCGTCTTCTACGACTTGAACCTTTTTCGCGACATAATGGCTACGTCCTCTGCACACCCCACTAGCCCCGTGCCAGGTGGGAGCAGTAGGCGGAGAATTCCGTCATACATTACGTTCCACAACAAGCACCCTAGAACTGGCCCTTGGGAATGCCAGCAACAATGTTGTAGGTTTTCGTGCCCGATGTGGTGTGGTACCTGAGTACACGGTTGCTGAAATAGGTTCTGATGACGCACTGCAGGTGCGAAGAAACGCCCTGAGCCGCCAACGCATTCAAAATACAGCCCCAGTCCGCCGATTTGGACGCATTCTTGACATCCAGAGTAACCACCAGGCACTATTCCTTTGTGCCTCCTCTCCATCTAGTATCTGCGATAGCGTTCGACGCGATGTTTACGGCTTTGGCTATTGTGTTCAGGGTGGATTTCGCCTTCCTAAATCCGAATTCGTTAGGTGACAGCCCAATTACTGCCTCCACCCGAATTTCGTCATCGTCTATCGACGGAAGCAGACGTATTATTTATTCGCTCCTGTAAATTTTAATATAAACAGTTAAATCGAACATTTCTTTGCACTTAGTGAAAAGATAGACTGTCTAATCCAGATCGGTGTTGTATCTGTCCAGTGTAATTGTTCAAACAACTTTAAATTACATTTTTACCTTAATGTGAATACAACAAAACTGACTCACAAGATAAAACCACTCAAATAATAAATAAGAGCGTTTTCAAGATTACCGCGCGCAAATAAACTACAATACAAACACAACACCAATACAGTTTCACTCACAATCTCAAATAAAACATAATTTGCAACAACGTTCAACGTACCAAAGAAAAATAACTCAACATACACTGCTCATCATGGCACCGCAACCCAGCAAACGCGCACGCGGAAATACAAATACTGACCTTAAGAAGGGCCGTCAGTCTGGTGCGCTATCTTCGAAGATCATGGTAATGCTAAATTTGCGCTTTGAAGATCAAGCCAATCTCATCTTCACTAAAATGGGAGATGCCGAGCAGCGCATCCTCTCCGCGTTGCTGGAGCGCCTTGATCATATGGCAGGGGAGGTGAAGCAGCTACACGAGAGGGTAAGCTCACTGGAGCGCGAGTTCGGGGAGCTGGCTGCATTGCGAGAGCGGGTCGGTGGGCTGGAGGCGAAACTTGCTTCTCAGCACAATGCAAAAATTGCATGTGACCTGCGGATGCATGGAGTGCCCCACGCTGAAGGCGAAAACGCAAGAGCACTTTACAATGCCCTCTTCTTCGCCATCAATGTTACACCACCGCCGAGGATTCAGGAAATTTTCCGTGTGAGAAAAATGCAAGTATCAGCGGTCGATCCGGACTTAATTGTTAGCTTTGATACTTTCAAGAAAAAGCCACGTTGTCGCAGCTGTCCGTCGCACCGAAAAAATACCACTAAATTTACAAATGCTGGGCTTTGACTCTCTGGCTCCCATTTATGTAAATGAGCAGCTTACTAGGGAGAACTATAATATATTTAAAGAAGCTATGAAGCTCAAGAAACAAAAACATCTCGTTGCTGTCATCACACGTAGAGGATTGGTGCATGTGAAACATAAGGAGAGTGAGAGTGCGCGGCTTATTCAAAGCAGAGATGAGCTTTTAAAGCTCGCTCGCGTTGATGGGTTTCCCTTTCCTAATTGTTTTTAATGTTCCTTTTTTGGTGAGAGTACAGACTATTTTACTGTCGGGCTTGCTCGACTGTAGCGTTCTCTCTTGTTTTTTTTTTTTTAATTTTCTTTATTTATCGAATCTTTTTACGATAAGTAGTCAAATCTTAATCGAATATAGTTATTTAATTAATTACAATTAAATATTTAAATTACTCTAACTTTTATTGCTGGGTGGGGAGGTCTCTTCGCCGGAGTCGTGTATGGCTAGCCTGCCGAGTTAAATTTTGCGCAAGTCTATTTGGATGGTTCCGAAGCTTAAGCTGGAACTTTGCTTTTACCGTGGCGATTTCATCTTTAACAGATCCCACATTTAAATCTTTCCGAATATTTTCACTCCATATGTACCTGGATGCCCCAGTGATGGTTCTGAGTTTCTTCGATTGAGATCTTACGATTAACTCTAAATTACTAATGGAAGCGTTTCCCCATAGTTCAAAGCCATATGCCCAAATTGGTTTGAGAACTGCATTGTACAAGAGTACTTTGTACTCCAGTTTAAGTGGTGAACGGACATTTATAAGCCAATGTAAATTAATAGCTTTTAGTTTCAGTTGATCTCTCTTCGCTTCGATGTGTTTGCGCCATGTAAGCCGTCTATCCAAATGGACACCAAGGTATGTTACATCGGTTTTTTGTGGAATATTAATGTTGTTTAGCGACAATGGAGGACAAGTGTGTTTGTTTAGAGTAAAGGTAACATGTTTGCACTCTTGTCGTTTACATGTATGCGCCAGTCTGCTAGCAATTCTTCTATGGCCACGAGGTGAGATGATAAGAGTTCTGTAGTTCTTGTTGGGCACTTGGAGCGACTTAGTATCATCAGCAAAAGTCGAAATTGTTGTACGGCTGTTTGTCGGTATTGTTGTTGTTTGTTGAGTTAGCCCCTAGTAATAAACTAGTAGCTGAGTATTTTACAATCGGTAGTTGAACCAAGTGTAATTCGGAGGAGGCATTTCAATTTGCCCATATCGAATATGGGACGCCTGTATTGTGTTGGTAGTTGTGTTATGACCAGTGACCGTAATACTTGGATTGCGGATTCTGCACCCAGGATCGATTGTGAGTAGTCCTGTTTGGTTCAGTTGTACATTAAAGAGCTCGTTTTTGCAAATAGCTGAGAACTGCATCGGTTCTCGATGTGTGAAAACCCATTGGTTTTTTGCGTGCATTGGTAGCCAGAGAAAGCTTTGAAGCTTTAGACCTTTTTGTAATTCCTTATCAGGGTTTGAATATCTTCCCCAAGTGATTCCTGCTTATTAAGCAGCGAATCCAGTTCTGGAGATAAAGTTGCCATTTCTCTAATCTGGTATTAGTTGTCAGACCCGTTGAAGGTGTTTTTGTTTTGCTTTTAAAAGCCATATGTGCCTCGACTCACACCGATGAAAGGCCAATGACACTAAATACCAATGGAGGTCCGTCCGTTTCTGGCGGCGGATTTATCCTAATCGTTTCCTTGGTGCAATACCAAGGTTTCGAAAAACTGCTCAATAGCGAAATCTCTAGCACGTAGATTCAGCTGGCACAGTTTCCTGGATACTTCGTCAACCTTGCTTTCGGAGGAGCTGAATGTGAGATCAGAACTGCACGAATGTTCTTGTGATTCTGTCTGTTTATTGATTGACATGTAAGGGTTTATATATAGTATTTTGAGTTTGCGTTGGTCTAGTTAATTCTAAAGGGTGATTCTTAAAATAAATCGTTGCGGGGTGTCGTATGCACCTAGCTGAGTCGGTGCGTGCATATCCAGCGGAGGTGTAGGTAGACGTGGCAGCCGGTTGGTGGTTGTTTTGTGCACATGCGCGGCCGCTCTTCTAACAATAGCTAAGAATATGCACATGCATTTCCCATGCGTAGCTCATGATACGGTCAAGTGCGTGTGACATTGACAGTACGATGAATTTCAGCGATGTGGGGCATATATGAACACCAACAGGTATATTTGCTGTGTATATGATATACAGCGTCGGTCCAAGCACGCCCCATTGGGGTACACCAGCTTAAATTGGATGGTATTCGGAGAGAAAATCTTTGCATCTAACTGCAAAAAAAAAAGGATAAGATCCTCCAAAACATCACAATTTCCTTAACGCGACAACTTTCGGAGAGGATTGTTTTAAATACTGATGGCGCTATGTCCATGCCGCTTGAATGGCTCTTTGATTTGATCCTCAGGGGTTAAGCTTGCCAGATTGCGAACTATTAGTCCTCTACTTGAACTCTAACTTTGCCTCCCTTGCCGAAGTGATATAAATAATTGCTGGTGCCAAGTACGATGTCCAGTTCAGCCTCCATTACGATTAGATTCGATACATCATCGATGTTGATAGGGGCGGCTTCCGCGATCTGGTTACCGTATCTTTGTTGTCAGCGTTTTGGTCAATTTCCATTTCATTTCAGTTGTTTCTGGTTACCGCATCTTTGTTGTCAGCGTTTTCATTTCAGTTGTTTCTTGTTACTCCAGTAATGCAAATTGTTTACAGGAAGTTGATGGATCGTCTTAAGTGAGGTTGCTGGTTTCTAAATGAGAGTCAAGCAATCTTCATTTATTGTGCTTTGCTTTGGCGATTGTACCACTTTCGTTTAAGCTTTGGGGTCTACCATCTAAGTGGTTTCTGACGTTTTTTTCATCTTGAAAGGTAGAAAGAGCATCTGTAAAACGGAATAGACTATGATCAGGAAATATAAATTAAATAATATTAATTATTTGCTAAGGCCAGGAAATTTTGAAACGTTAGTTCCTATATATCCTATATATATACGTTATATTAATTTGTTTAGTTTAAGAAATTTCAGTTCCTTTTTATTACATGTACCCAAAGGGTAAAAGGCAAAATATATTTTTTAATTAATTTTTTTTTAATATTTTTTTCGGGGGAGCGTATTTAAGGTTTTAGCCCGCTCGACTTTAACATTCCTTTCTTGTTTATAAAATAATAGCATGCTATATAGCATAACAGAAAAATTATTAAATATATTTTGTTTTAATTCTGTGCCTCTTAATTTAAAAAACGTACATACATACACACTTTTGCGCATAGTTGCAAGTAAAACATGCACACACATGCATTTTTTTTAGGGTCAGCCGCGGGTACCTACAATAGCACTGGAGCAAAACTCGAGACATAGTCTGGTAGAACCCGCGAAATACTCGAGACATACTCGGGTAAACACCGCTCAATACTCGAGTAATACCCGAGTAAAAATCGAGCAATACCCAAGTAAGACTCGAATATTTCCCGTTACTTGATCAGTTTCATCACACACTCATGCTCGATCGTCCGGTTTGTTTCGATCATTCACCGGTTATCATAAACGAAGTGACCGAACCTGGTATGTTCGTAAAAAAAGTAATCATGTCCGGTGCTCGTTCGCAAACACAGAATGATTGCTCATTCGAGCTCGATTCTAAAAAAATGTTGAGAATACTTAACATGATCGTTTGCAGCCAAGCAAAGAATTGATTTGATTGAATTTTCAGCAAGTGCGATGGAACATACTTGTTGCAGTTCTCTGATATGCATGTTGTCATGCCACCTATGGATGTGTGTATGTATTTAAATATATACATACATAAAATATAAATTTTTCTCAAAAGCCGTTTTAGTTTTTTAAATCAACTTTGTTCAATATTTACTAAAACTACTGCCTCGATAATAAAGTTGGCTATTTTATTCAAGTTGGCCCATATACATATGTATGTACATATGTATGTGTGTACATATACATATGTACATGCATGTATGTAACATACATAGATGCATTTTAGTCAAGGACTGTTATTGAGTTGTTTTTTTTTTTTAATGTTGAACACTTTCATTTGATATACTTTGGATGGAAAATATTTTAAAACTCCATTAAATTTGTGTAATGTTGTTTATATAATTCAGATATGTATGTATATGCAAATTAACTTTCAATGCACTTTTGAAATATTTTGTATGTTCATTTTGCCAAGCAGGCCAATGAAAAAGTAATTAAAACGAAATTATACCAACTAATTGGTATAACTAATTTAACAAAACTATACCAACATTTATTCATATACATATATTGTTTTAAACATTAAAACCCTTTCTATTAAAGAATGCCTGTTGTTCCGTTTCCACATTACAACATCATTCTTTCCGAATTTCAGGCTAATGGTCGCTTGTTATGCTCCAAGTTGCTGCCTACGAATCTGTAAATTGTTGGGTAGCACTTTTTGTTATCGAAATTAACCTTTCAATCAGCTGCAAAACGTCAGCGATCTATGTGAATAGAATAAATTCTATGAAAGCAAGCAGTAGTCTTTGTTGAATGGCTGGAAGCGCGTATTTTTAGTTTTTCAATTTCTTGTCCGGTGTGACTTGAAACTGCAATTAAAGCCATAGTTGTTAGTTACAGAACAACCAAAGATATAAGTGTCATATGTTTATTAAATACCAAACAAACCCCGTATATTACAAAATAGAACAGTTAATTAAATCGAAACCTCGGAACGTCGCAGAAGGTTTGAGCACAGTCAGCAGAGAGCAAGCAGAACCAGCAAGCAACATAGAGTTGTGTAACACAGACCGCAGCAACGTGAAATTATTGTACGCTTAGATCTTGGCAGCATGGCCCTCGAAATTGATGCAAAAAATATGGTGAAATCGAATGCGCCAGTGTCTGGCGATGGTGCTACCTCAACCAATAATAAATGCAAGGCAAAAGGTAATAATGTTTCTGAAACATCACCGAATGTGACTACCGGCGGCAATCACAACAACAGCACGGGACAGGACTTGACCAACAGCACCTTCGACGTTCATTCTTCGAAAAAAAAAGGTGCGTTAATTTGATCAATTTATTCATACCACCTTTAAGAAAGTGTGAATAATGCAAAAAAATATCCCTTGAGTGTAAAGTGCAACAATTGTAACGAAGTCCGACACTTGCGAGAACATCACATAACATTTTCTACGTTACGTAATGTTTTGTCAATGCTCCCTTTTGTTAGGCAGTCCGTTGCCCCCATATCATCGGTTGCCCGCGTGCGTTTTGAGCTGCACTTGTTTAAGTTGCCAGCGGCATTTGAAACTGTTGGAGTTGTCAGTGTTGTGAGTATGAGCGAGTGCGTGCTCTCGCAGGGCAACGCATTGTGCGTTTCTCTGCTCACGCCTAGCAGTGCGTGCATATTCATAGCACTTATGCAGTCCCGGTTATGTTGCTTTAACCTCCAACTAACACGTGATTTTTCTTTCCAAATAAAAAATAGATTTTCATACGTACATACATATGTACATATGTATGTATGCACATACATATGTACATATTTGCATTCATGTACGTCAGTTATGTAAATCACGTTTTTACTCACTGTCAAAATGTGTGTTCCTATAAATGTACATATGTATATGTATGTATGTATATACATATGTATGTCTTTTTTTACCGGTCATTTTCTATTCTACAGATGAAAAATGCCGGTAAAAAAAAGCACGTAATTGGGATAAGACGCAAAGACTAAAAGAGTAGCCTGTACGGCAAAGCAGTTGTTATCGCTACTTTGGTTCAACATGAATAGGTCATGGGTCGAATTTTTTAGGCGCGACACGATGCGGGCACAAAATGAACTTTAAAAAGCAATGCAACTTTTTACGTTCATGGGCTTTATTCGCTTGTAACGAGGATCATTAATTCAGACTGATTCTTTCAATTTTCTTTTATATTTTTGGGACATCATAATATCATCTGAGTAAAGCGCAGTGTGTGGTAAATATGGACGAACGCTAAAAGCAATCACATTTTTAATATTTTGCGATTATTTACTCAACATTTGTAATTTAGTTGTTCATTATACTCTGTACATGAAATGTACAAGAGTATATTAGTTTTGCGGGAGCTGAAAATGTAACAGGCAGAAGGAGGCGTGGCAGACCCCACAAAGTATATACATATATACAAAGTATATACATATACATATATATACGCTATACGAGTTTGTTTTATTTTTTAGATTCCCCCCCCCCTCCCCCACTTCCCATTATGGGGGTTTCCCAATTTTCCATTCGTATAATCGCCTATATCTCGGAGACTATAAGACCTAAGGACACCACATTTTAGTCCAAGATGCCTTATGTGAATACGTGGAATTTCCTCCCATTCCCTTATTCTACACATAAGTACAGAGTATTTAACTTCCTGTTAAATCGGTCTATCATAGTGAAACTTGGCAAACAGACACATAATCACTAAATGGGGGTATTTGCCAAATTTGAAGTTCACGGATGGGCTAGCGGATGAAAAATTGCATTGAAATGTTTTCTAACAAACAGGAACAATAAAAACATACTTTTATATTGCAAAAATACTTCTAAAAATCCAAAAATTTCCGAAAATCAGAATTGTTTCCAAATAGCTGCCATGAAAAAATCATACAACTCGACTAAAAAATCTATTTTACATAATGTGGGTGACTAAACGAAGTACCTGAAAATTTAACTTCAAAAGGAATGACAAAAGATGATAAAGTAGAAGACAAAAGTCAGGACACTTGCTGTTTTGATAAAAGTCGCAAACACAGAAAATTAATACTTGTTTCCTTTCCACTTGAGCTTTTCTGAAGCTTCAACCCAACCCATTTACCCAATTAAATAGTACATTTTAAAGCTGCAGAATGTAGTTAAATTGTAGTTTAGTTAAAAATAATCACGCATTCATTTGTTTTGTGTTGAGCTAATTTTAAATTGTAAAATATTCACTTTCCATTTCATATATTCTATTGCACATGAAAGAACGTTCGTTGTTCCGATTGTTAATTATTGATTCGTTGTTTTGATACAGGTTCTCTCTTGTTTAATTTATATAAATCCCAGTCAATGTCTATCCCCGGCTTACCAATAACGTGAATTTTCCTATTTCAAATATTTTTAGAACCCATAAAAAATAAGAAAAATCACAAATTATTATTGTAGGCAAGAAAAGTGGAATCAAGTGTCCGATAGAAGCAAATCTAAATAATGGTCATGTTGAAGACGCCGAAATACAGCACGCCATCAATGATGACAACAAAGCAGATTCCAATGCTAATATAGTCTCTTCAAATAAGAGCAAGGAAAAGTCTTCAGATGATACAGTCGGTGCCGATGTTGAACCCGATGCTGAAGAAATTGATTTAGACGCGCTGCACGACATTGGCATAACCGTTAACATTAGTAGTCCCGGAACGGATGTGCTCTCTGTGCAACTCTCTAGCATGGAGCTGGTGCAAGAAATACACCAGCTACTGATGGATCGTGAAGAGACGTGTCATCGTACTTGTTTTTCTCTGCAACTGGACAACATGACGTTGGACAATTTTGCCGAGCTGAAGACCATCGAGCACCTTCAGCAAGGGTCTACCATTAAGGTGGTGGAGGAGCCCTATACAATGCGCGAAGCTCGGATTCATGTTCGCCACGTGAGGGATTTATTAAAGAATCTGGATCCGGCAGATGCCTATAACGGTATCGATTGCACTTCGCTGACTTATCTGAACACCATCACGCAGGGTGACTTGCTGGACAAGAAAAAGACCAGACCCGACTCTGTTGACTGCACGCCCCCAGACTATGTGACTCCGGGAGTTCGTGATCCGCCATTGCTGCCGCTGCATCCAAACATAAAGAATGCCAAGGGACCACAGGCGCTAAAGGTTCTGACAACATCCGCCTGGAACCCGCCACCTGGTCCTCGTAAGCTGCACGGCGATCTTATGTATTTATATGTGGTTACAATGGAGGATAAGCGTTTTCATATATCAGCCTGTTCTAAAGGTTTCTTCATTAACCAGTCCACTGACGAAGTGTTCAATCCAAAGCCAGACAATCCCAGTCACTTGAGCCACTCGCTGATAGATCTGTTATCGCAAATATCACCCTCGTTCCGCCGCGCTTTTCAAACCATCCAGAAACGCCGCACAATGCGGCATGCCTTTGAGCGCGTGGCTACACCCTATCAGGTGTACCAATGGTCATCGCCACAGCTCGAACATACAGTGGATGCAATACGAGCTGAAGATGCATTTTCATCCAAGTTGGGGTAAGTAAGATTTTTAAAAAGTAAAAAGAGAAGTATTTTTATGCGTTTCGATGATATTTGGTAGCTATGAAGAACACATACCCGGCCAAACGCGTGACTGGAACGAAGAACTTCAAACAACGAGAGAGCTGCCCCGCAAAACACTACCGGAACGTTTGCTACGCGAACGCGCCATCTTCAAGGTACACGGCGATTTTGTTACGGCTGCGACACGAGGCGCCATGGCTGTCATCGATGGTAACGTGCTTGCCATTAATCCTGGTGAGGATCCGAAGATGCAAATGTTCATTTGGAACAATATCTTTTTCTCACTGGGTTTTGATGTGCGCGATCACTACAAGGAACTGGGGGGCGACTATGCAGCCTTTGTTGCACCTCGATATGATCTCCATGGCGTTCGTGTGTACAATGCTGTTGACGTTGATGGACTTTACACTTTGGGAACAGTTGTGATTGACTATCGCGGGTTCCGTGTGACTGCACAATCCATTATACCAGGTATTCTAGAACGCGAACAAGAGCAATCCGTAGTCTATGGCTCCATAGATTTTGGAAAGACTGTGCTAAGTCATCCCAAGTACCTGGAGCTGCTACGGCAGGCGGGTAAGCATTTGAAAATACTGCCACATTCAGTACTGAACGAGAGGGATGAGCCCGTCGAGTTATGTTCTTCTGTCGAATGCAAGGGCATCATTGGAAACGATGGTCGTCATTACATTCTGGACCTACTGCGTACGTTCCCACCGGATGTAAATTTTCTGAAGCTAGAAGATGTCAAGCTGAAGGACGAATTAATCGCCATGGGTTTTCCCATAGAGCATCGTCATAAATTGTGCTGTCTGCGTCAAGAACTGTTAGAGGCTTTCATCGAGGACCGTTATGTAAGCTTCATACGTAACGCAGCTGTCCATTTGCAGCAGCTAAATGCTAAGAAGCAAGCAAAAGATGATCAAACTCCAGAACAGGCTCTTTCCGCCATTGCAGAAAGTAAAGAGGAAACAGAGGAAACGCCGATGACAGACGACGGTGCGATGCTGGTAGAAAAACCAGAAGCGAACGATTCAGAATCATGTGTCTCACCTGGAAACGAGACAAGTACTAATGAAACAAAAACTGCGGAGGCCATGGTCAATGCTATACGAGAAGCTCAGTCGAATGTTGCCACTGCGAACGAAGTGCAGGCTGCCGAGGTTGTAAAGCGCGCATGTGCTGCTGTTGGGTCGCTTAAGGAAAAGGAGTTTGACTTCCGTTTTAATCCGGACGTCTTCTCGCAAGGCATACGTCATGTTGATCACCCCGACAGTCCACATTCGCTGACCAAGCAGAAGCGCCTGGTACAGGATGCAGCCGAATTTTTGGTCACCAAGCAAATACCTGCATTCATTAAGGAACATTTGGCACATACTTCGCCACCGATGGACGGCCAAAGCATTACGGAGTCGCTGCACAGTCATGGTATTAACGTGAGGTACTTGGGCAAAGTCATTAATATGCTCGTTCAAATGCCACGTATGGATTATCTTTATCGAATTGCCGTAGTCGAGCTGATTGTACGTGCTACCAAGCATATTTATTATACGTATATGCAGAGCACGCAACCACTTCATCTGTCAGCGGCTATCAGTCATTTCCTTAACTGCCTGTTGACAAATGGGCCTATCAACCCAAGTGTTAGTAGTGACGAAATACACAAAACGAACAATGGACGCGGGGAAAAGCGCGGTGGTGGTAAGCACAAACATAAGGTCGCCAAGGGTGGCAAAGTCACTACAGCGGCCTTACAAAATGAAGCATCTAGCGGCCAAGGTGGCAACAGCGCCTTAAACAACACCTTCGATTGGACGACGGTAACGCCACGTTCACTTTGGCAGCAAATTCGCAAAGAGGCCAAATCATATTGGGATTGGGAGCTGGACTGCGACTCTATTGACAGCGCTGTTGCCAAGTATGGTATGCTTCGCATCAGTCTGTTGCGTGCCTTCTGCCTAAAGGTGGGAATTCAGGTTTTATTGCGCGAGTACAACTTCGAGTCGAAGCACAAGCCAACTTTCGGCGATGATGACATCGTGAACGTCTTCCCCGTGGTGAAGCACATCAGTCCGCGCGCCACGGACGCTTACAACTTTTACAGTACTGGCCAAGCCAAGATCCAGCAAGGGCTTTTTAAGGAAGGCTATGAGCTAATCAGTGAGGCGCTTAATCTCCTGAACAATGTCTTTGGTGCCATGCACACGGAGAATGGCTCTTGCTTGCGAATGCTAGCGCGCCTGAGCTACCTGCTGGGTGACGCGCAGGATGCTCTGGCTATCCAGCAACGGGCGGTGATTATGAGCGAACGCGTCAATGGAATTGATCATCCATCGACCATATTGGAATATGTAAGTACATAATTGGATAAGCGATTTATATAAATATATTGATATTCATTTAAAACTACAGAAAATACATAACGTCCCAAAAGAGACAATAATTTGTAATAAAAATATATCTATATCAGTTCATTCAACATAGTTGAGTTAGTTATGGTAAATATTAATATAAAATGTCGTAGTGGTAATAAACATATTATATTATCGACAAGTTCCAATTCATGTTATGTTATTATTAATAGCAGTTATAAAAACATGTAACGGTTATGAAATAGTTTGTTGCATAATTTGTTAGGATAGGTAGTTGCAAGGATCAACGATTTTTATCTTATCTTTTTTTCTTTAGACGCACCTGTCGCTGTATTCCTTTGCTAATGGACACATCGGGATGTCATTGAAATTGTTGTACCGTGCACGCTATCTCCTGGTCCTCATCTGCGGTGAGGATCATCCTGAGGTTGCGCTGATCGATGTAAGTAGCATGGATTACAATTATATCAGTTTTGTAACATTTCCTTCGTACCCGCCCAGAGCAATATTAGCTTGATCCTGCACGCGCTGGGGGAGTATGAACTCTCGTTACGTTTCATCGAGCATGCGCTAAAGCTGAATCTGAAGTATTTTGGTAGTAAGGCTATGCATGTGGCTGTAAGTTATCACCTGATGGCTCGCACCCAATCATGTATGGGTGATTTCCGTTCAGCTTTAAACAACGAAAAGGAAACCTACTCAATTTATAAATCACAGGTAAATTACATTTATAATCCATCCCTGTTGCTTACTTCAAACAAAATATATTTGTGACTCTCAGTTGGGTGAACATCACGACAAAACGCGCGACTCAGCCGAATGTCTACGCCTGCTTACCCAACAGGCCGTCCTACTGCAACGCAAAATGAACGACATCTACTCCAATGGTAAGTTAACAAGCGATTTACCGCCCATACACATAACGCCTCCCTCTATGGGTTCGGTGCTGGACATGCTGAACACCATCAATGGAATACTTTTCGTACAAATCAGGTAAGTAATGGGTCAATTACAACGACATTCCAAATCTAATAGATCTACTGGTCATAGCCAAAAGGACATTGCCAAGGTACGCACCGAAATCGAGAAGCATTTGAAGAGCACAAGCGATGACAACGAAATCACCGATGCGCTGAATTCAATAGTTGTTGGCAAAAATAATGTCAAAATTGAGACTAACATAGAACCGACGCAGAGCATAAAGGACGCGGCTCTTAGAAATGGGATCGAGGGAGAAGCCACCACGACGGTTTCAAGTTGAAAAATCTTAAAAACCACACCATTAACACGCCCTATTCGTCGTCGTTGTGTATATGGACTGAGCAAAATTAGCATGAACTAAGTGTTACAAAACAAAATTCACAATTAAAAACATAAGATTTGTTATTTAAAAGCTGCTTACGCGGAATCTTTTAAAATGAACTACACATCATAATATTGTAACTTTGACTAACTGCTGCTGCAACTTGTTTAAGACTCACGCAATGCATTAAAGCCACTCCTACAGAAAATTCCTCAAATTCAGATAACTTGTTAAGTTATATATTTTTTATTTTTAGCTTTTGTTTTTAAAATGGTTGCAGAAATTTTGCATCCATTTCTTTTATCTATTGTGCGCTCAGAACCAATGGCATATCTTGCCGATTGCTTTTTCAAAGTTTATACATATTACATATGTAATTGTTTTTGTTTTGTTATTCAAGCTATAATGAATACAACACAACACATTAATATAACTTAAGGCATGCTTACCTAAAATGCCTGCAAAACCTAATGCAAAATTGGGTGTTTGTTATAAGGTACCATATATTTAGATCGGAACATTTACATAAACCACATAAATATATAGCATGCCTACATATATTATACATTAAGATATGTGAAAAAATTGTTTTTAATTTTTAACATTAAAAGTGAAGAATGAAAACTAAATATTAATAGTGTTTCAATTATCGACCTATTGTGGGAAATCTATTTGAGTTAACTAACTACCCTGCTCAGCATGGATTTTTTAAAAATCGGTCAACAACGACTAATCTGCTTGAATTTACATCTTTGTTAAATGATGCATTCCTAGCAAAGATGCAAGCTGATGTTATATATACTGACTTCAGCAAAGCATTTGATTCTGTGAATAACGACCTCCTCCTCTTGAAGCTAACTTGTATGGGACTTCCCTCAAACTTTTTAACCTTCCGTATATCCCGCTTCATTCCCGTATATTAATGTATGCCGATGATGTAAAGCTAATTTTTTCCTCTTTCAATCTTGTCTACAGTACAATCTAAACTGTTTTCAACGGTAGTGCTTGGTCAACTACGTGCACTGTTCTAAATGGAAGTTTATGACTTCACCGGTCCAGACTATGTCTAGGTACTTATGCGATTGACAATATACTATTGCAACGTATATTTACAGTTGAAGATCTTGCAGTTCTTTTTGATCCCAAATTGAATTTCAATCTTCACATCTCCACTATCGTTAATAAAGCTAAGAGTGTTCTTGGTTTTATTAAACGATGGTGCAGAGAATTTAACGACCCCCACACCACCAAGATTGATTCCTCCCCACCTCGCCCCTCTGGGAGTTTTCCCGATTTTCCATTCGTATAATAGCCTATATCTCGGAGACTATAAGACCTAGGGACACAAAATTATAGTCTCAGATCCCTATATGTATACGCAGAAAAAGCGTATTTTGGAATTGCCCTCCCCCCTCAATCCATAACTCCCGTATTTCTTGGAATTTCGAACTCAAACTTGGCGCATACCTCCAGTTAGTGAATATAAGTCCAAATGTTTCATAATGATAGGCTGATTTAACAGGAAGTTATAGCCATATATGTAAATAAGACAAAGTAGTGCCCGCAGCTGTTGTTGTTGTTACTGCTTTGCTCAGGCACACAAAGCATACACAAAGACACATGTATACGCGCATAATTATTCTACACATACATACTTGTATGTATAGAGTATTTCAAAGTCGGACAACCCGACTTTAGCTTCCCTACTTGTTTTATACTCTGCACACGAAATGTACAAGAGTATATTAGGTTTGCGGGAGGTGAAAAATGTAACAGGCAGAAGGAGGCGTAGCAGACCCCACAAAGTATATATATTCATGATCAGCACGACAAGACGAGTCCTTCTAGCCACGTCTGTCTATCCGCTTGTCCATATGAACACCTGGATCCCTAAGAGCTGCCCAAGCGCTGCCTGCAGCTGTTGTTGATGCTGGTGCTTTGGTAAACACATAAACATACATACACTCATATAGACGCAATTGCTATGTAAATGTGCAATTATACACCCTTTACGTAAGATCGAATACCAAACAAGATAGAACGCTACAGTCGAGCAAGCCCGACAGTAAAATAGCCTGTACTCTCCACAAAAAAAGAAAAATTAAAAAAAAAAAATTTAAAAAAAAATTAAATTATTAAAAAAAATTAATGAATTAATTAATTAAATTAAATTAGAATATATGTTTATGTTTAGTTTTAACAGCATACATTTACATCACGTACCTATGCGTGTTTATATGCGTGTATGTATGCAGCACAAAGTTGAACCAAAGCAGCAACAACAACAACAGCTGCGGGCAGCGCTGCCGACAGAGGCAGCGCATGAGCAGCGATTTTACTTATGGCTATAACTTTCTTCAGAATTGACCTATCATGATGAAATTTGGCACACGGACACATTAGTACTAACTGGATGTACCTACCAAAATTGATTTCAAAATTCCGAGAATTACGGAAGTTATAAGAAAAAACACGAATTGCGGGGGAGTGGGGGGGTGCATCGAAAAAAAACTCAAACTCGTACTTTCTCGGTCTTAGGAGAATATGGAAACCAAGTTTGGTTATTCTAGCTCTTATACTTTCTGAGATCCTTGCGTTCATACGGACAGACGGACGGACGGACAAGGCTATATCGACTCGGCTTCTCATCCTGATCAAGAATATATATACTTTGTGGGGTCTGCCACGCCTCCTTCTGTGTGTTACATACATGCGCACAAAACTAGTATAGCCTTTCACCCTTTGGGTACAGGCTATAAAAAGGTAAAATCGATCAATTTTTTTTTTTTAATTCTCTTATTTTTTTAATTTCTATAATTATTGTAAACATATGTACAGAGTATTTCAAAGTCGGGACACCCGACTTAGCTTTTTTACTTTTTAAAATATGAAGATAATCTTCTTTTTTTCATAATCCCATCAATTTTTACCAATAGGCCGACATCCCACCTAGTTAAGCAGCTCCAAACCAAGAGACTACCTCCTCCATACTCCATTGTTTCTTTGAATTGGTGTTTTTGTAGCTTATCATTAGGTCGTTGCCAGTAGAACTCCTTACCATCAGACTGAAATCAGTTTATTTAGATCTCATCTGACCAACTAACCTTTTTCCAATCATCCACGCTACAATTTTTGTGCTCCTTGCTAAATTTTTATACCCTGTACCCAAAGGGTACAAGGGTATATTAGTTTTGTGCGAGTGCACATGGAACACACAGAAGGAGGCGTGGCAGACCCCACAAAGTATATGTATATATTCTTGATCAGGATGACAAGGCGAGTCGATATAGCCATGTATGTCTGTCCGTCCGTCTGTATGAACGCAAGGATCTCAGAAAGTATAAGAGCTAGAACAACCAAACTTGGTATTCAGATTCTCCTAAGACCGAGAAAATATGAGTTTAAGTTTTTTTCGATGCACCCCCATTTTATAATTTCCGCAATTCTTGGAATTTTGAAATCAATTATGGTAGTTACATCCCGTTAGTGCTTATGTGTCCATGTGCCAAGTTTCATCATGATAGGTCAATTCTGAAGAAAGTTATAGCCATACATAAAATCGCTGCCCATGTGCTGCCTGTAGCTCTGCCCGCAGCTGTTGTTGTAGCTGCTTTGGTTCAACTTTGTGCTGCATACATACACGCATATAAACACGCATAGACACGATGATATAAATGTATGCTGTTCAAACTGTACATAAACATGTCTTCGGTGTATGTATTAAATAAATGTTCTTTATTAATTAATTCAATTTTTTTAATAATTAAATTTGTTTAAATTTTCCTTTTTTGTGGAGAGTACAGGCTATTTTACTGTCGGGCTTGCTTGACTGTAGCGTTCTCTCATGTTTATGTCAAGGTTAGAGAGCGTGCTTATCGGTTGCCGGGGAGGTATGTACATACATACATAGTATATAAGCTTGTGGTGCTTTTGCGGTATGGATGAAGTGATCCATCAGTGTACAGAAGTTCAGTAAAATAGTGCATTAAACATAAGTCGCTGTTGTTTCAATTTTGATTTAATTTAATTTAATCACAATCCAATCTTAAACAGCACTCAATAAATATGTACATATTTATGTCATTAAATCATCTTTCACATATTTCATAATTTATTTTTTATTCATACACATACATACATACATAATTTATTATTTTACACTCGTGTAGGAAAATCGTACTAGAGCTCAGATATGTAAATACATACATATTCTGGAACAATTTTCGAAAAGAAACGATAGAGAACTTTTTCTGAATACGTGCTTACGGATAGTAGTTTGTTAAATATAGGGTTAGACAAAACTGTTCGTGAACAAATTTCTCAAAACAAGTAAGAACGCTTACTTTCGCTTTTTGCATTTATTGCGTCCCTTGCGCCGGCGACCTGGTGTTTTGCCTGACGATTTACCATTTTTAGGTGTTTGTTGCTTAGTTGCAAGAGCAGCGTTTGAGCTAACATTTGTAGTAGTTGTGGTTTGCTTGGTTACTCGATTGGCCATACTTTGACCACTGATCTTTTTCGAGGGGAGCAAATGTTGACTGACCAGATCCCCGAGCCTGCCCTGATGAGCCAGCATGGAGAGAAAAGTACAGATAAATTTGTCATAGTTGTGAGTACGACGGCTGGCATCAACCTTGAACATATGTCGCTTATCGTTCTCATCGGCCAAATGTTGCTCATTAATTGCGATTTCCGTGTCTAAATTTTTGAGTAGCGATTGCAGATCTCGCGCTGTAAATGCACTGGGTTCCAGAAGCGTTGTAGGTGTATCCGGTCGTTGTTGATCGCTGTTGTTGCCAGATTCACTCTGCTCGTCCGCTTTAAGCAGTTTCTGCAGAGTGCTAGAAACAATAGCCTGATTCGTTCGCAACATTTTAAGTTTGTGTGTTATAGCAATACGTCGATCAGGGACCACCGCCATCAAGTTAAAGCGAATGTCCTGTTCACCGGTGGCAATTCCCAGGCGTTCAGCCATAACTCGCCGAAACTTGTCTGTCCAGTCCTCATGTTGCTCCCACCCGCCATGATCCATGGGATACGGTTTCAAGCCATCCAACTCAAATAAATGGCCATTGATTGGAACAAAACTGACAAAGTGGAAAGCTTCGCCAGTAAAGCGGCAGCTAGTTGTAAGTGCACCAGTTCGTTCCAGACGGCGACGTGCTTGCGGCATTGCATGCGAATTGTGGGCACAAGCCAACTCAGGCGTATTTCCTATAGCCAGACCTTTGTTTTCTGGGCTCATACCTTTCGTGTGCACTTTTAGTCTGCTTAGTGTGCCACCCAGATGCAGGTTATTTTCGTTACAGTTAAGAAGAACCGACAGTAACGCATGCGTGGCACAGCTGTTTGGCACTACTTGTTGAGCGAAGAATATACTAGATATGGCCTCCTCATCTTTGACGAATATTTCTGCCGTAGTCTCAACAATTTTACGTCTAGCACGGCGTTCTTCGATCCAGCGAAAGAGAAAAATAAAGCCATAGGGACTTTCTATAGGTTTTTGTAAATCATAAACTTCTTCTACTTGCACGTCGCGTACTCCAAAATCTTCCAGCAGAAGTGTAAACAAACCTGGGTCTGATTCCAGCTCCAGCCACCCATCTGCCAATTGCGTGGGCAATGTTACTGTTAAGCCTGTGCTACCGCCGGCCACATTGCTGTTTAACCCTGCGCTGCTGCAGGTGTTTGTCCCGCCGCTGCCAGGAATACTCATTTTATAGAATTTCCTAAAATAAATGTTAGAGTTCCAAATGTCTACTTATTTAGATACAAACTACGCTCGGTGAGAGCATCAGAAATATTGATGGGATTATCGATAGCTTCTAATTTTTCATTACTATCGATTGTGGTAGCCCATGATATTTGAATCGTAGAAGGGAACGTTAAGAGGACGCTATTTCTACCAATTATTTAAATGTGCAATGGTTACCAGAATATTGCAACAATCGTCGCAACTAGTATGGATCTCTGTTTTCATATACTGGAAGGTGTGTGTGCATATTAATTTATATGGTATATTTCTAAAAAACTCCTTCCAGAAAGCTTTTGAGGTTGTCTCGACTTTGAAGACAATTGAAAGGCGCTGTTTATGTGTAGCTGCTCCATCCCGCGAAGCAAGAGGATTTTTGTCAGATGTCAAAATTTAACACTTTTATCATGCTTTAGGTTTGACTGCTTTGACAATAACAAAATAATTAGTCATGAAAATACAAACCTATCGATATACGATAAATGGGCAAGTTTCCGATTTATTCTACCAGCCCCGCACAAAGGAGTTTTCAATCAGCTGGTATTGACGTAATTTTCATTTTAGTAAGTCAGCTAGTAAAATTTGTACATAAATTGATAATGGTGCGGATAACCTTGGCAACAATGCTTGCTAAACGCGTGCCACTCATACAATTTCGCAAAGGTGGGGCTGGCATAGTTGCATCTAACAGCCAGTCTGCAAGCCCAAGTCAGGCAAGTGAAAAGGCCGCAGAAGGCAAAAAGGTTAACTTTTTCCCACCTCAATAGTCGTAGAAGTAGCAGATCGTCTTTTTTGCTCTTTTCAATTGTCAGTGTTGTACGATCCTTATTAAACCTAGTCTATGTTGCAGGCTAACGGGTCAGCTATAGAGGACTGGGAACTGCCTGCACGCTTTGCACGCAAGCCAATCGATCCAGTTGAAGCAGAGTACATTAACAATGGAGGCCCCAAATAAAAATTGAATTTAAATCACGGTGGATCTGCCGATGTGTTCCTCTATAATTTTTGTAATTGTTAACAATCAAATATACATACAGGCATATACATATGTATATACATATATGTTTAGTGCTAAGTTCATATTTAAATTTTATTTCATACAACCAAATCTTTCCTTTTTATAATATTAGTATAGATTTCGTTGTAAATTTGAAGTAAACATACATTATAATTGCATTCAAATCAGAACGGGTTGCATTCGATGCGCCACAATAAAATTCAGTGAACACCAATGGTAAGAAGAAGAGAAGGCGATAGGCAGAACTTTTAGTACCTATTGTGAACGAAAGCTGTTCGGACGTTGTTTTGGCGATATTGCGATTTGTTTTAGTTAGACCACGGTCCCCGCCCCCTTTCCATCGTGAACAAAGAGTGGAAAATTTTTATTTTCAAGTCATCAGAAACGGTTTTATTTTCCTTTTGTGCCTTGTATGCGTATAAGGTAGTACGCCGCACATAGCGTTGGATTAAGTTTACTAGTTGCGACCGTATAGTTTTTTTTATTTTTGGATGGGGTTTAATCCTAGTATGCAAGATAAGTGGAGCTGTACCAGAAAGACCAATAAAGACTGCTTGGGTTTGACTTGGAAGTGGCTTCACCAGACTGCTGCGCTACACGAATACCTAATTTCTCATCTCTCGGCGGACACAGCAGCAGCCTCAGGCAACATCAATACGCGGAACCTTTAAAGTCTAGAACTCTTACACGACTTAAATTAAGGTGAGAAAAATCTAAATAGATTTTAAGTAAAATATAACAAAGGTATAATTCTGTGTATAGCATATACAATAGATACAAAGTTTCAACATAACCACAATCAAACAAAAAATCATCCGCAACTTCCAAAGTATCACGCATACCCGTTGACCTTGTCCAGCCTACAAAGACTCAAATATAGTGCAGTAGAGATTTGGTTGAGAGTGCTCCAAGCAACTAACCCCAACTGATTTAAATAAGGCACAGTAAGTTCTGTCGAAAATAATTGTGCAACAGTATTAGCATTTCTTATACATATTTTAAATTTTGCGTTCAGCTAAAAGTCAGAGCAGCCGTTGTCAGTGTAAGTGTAAGCATGAACATGCTCTTACGGCGCAATTCCAGTCAGCTGCGCCTATTGGCAGCAGCAGCTGCGCGTTCAGTTTCAGCACAGGTGCAACTTGTTCGCTCGTCATCTACTGATAATGATTCGTCAGCAATAACACCGATAACTCCGTCAACGCATGCCATCGGTAAAACAAATATAACCCGGAAGCCAAGCCATGTGGCCGATGTCGACATCAAGAAGTCGGTCTTTATTTCGCAGTCGCATGACATTTTTACAAATCTTGCGCTAGAGGATTGGCTGTACAAGAACTTTGACTTTAGCCGCCACCACGTCCTCCTGTTATGGGCAAATGATCCGTGCGTGGTCATTGGGCGCCATCAAAACCCTTTTACTGAAGCGAATGTGTCGCAGCTGTTGGAACGAGGAGTTACGCTCGCACGCCGTAATAGTGGTGGTGGTGCCGTCTATCACGATCGGGGCAATCTCAACTGCACCTTTTTTACACCTAGGGAGCGCTACGATCGCAAGTATAATCTAAACATTGTGACGCGCGCACTCTTCCGCGAGTGGGCCATCAAAGCTGAGATAAACGAGCGCGACGACATTGTAATAATGAACAAAAAAGTGAGTGCCATGTTTGTATTGTATTGACTAGACAGCTGCCATTTTATTTCGATGTCTCCGTCTTATCAGCTACTGACCTGTTATCGACCTTAAAAATATATGTACATATAAAATATTAATAGAAATTGTTTGTCCTAATTGATTCGATCTTATGCATCTACACAGATATCGGGCACGGCTGCCAAACTGGGTCGCCCGAATTCTTATCACCATTGTACTATCTTGGCCAGTGCCAATAAGCTGCATCTAGGCGAGTCTCTGCTCAAAGAGGAGGCCAACTACATTAGCCGCGCCACTTCCTCTGTCCGCTCACCCATCCGTAATTTGTGTGACATCAATCGTAACGTAAACGTATCGCAGCTTCTCTCAGCCGTGGGATACGAGTACTTGCGCACAGCAGCCACTTCTCTAGAGGATGGTGGCAGTGCGCAGACGATGAACCAGCGCGGTTTTCAACTGATCAATCCTACGGAGAAATGGTTCCCTGGTATTGAGAAGCTTCGAGCTAGCTATAGCTGTTGGGAGTGGGTCATCGGCAAGACGCCCAAGTTCAGTGTGGAGAAGGATCTTGAATTAAAGGGCGACGAGCACGGCATTAAAATCAAATTGAACGTCGATGTAGAAAACGTAAATTTGTAAATACAGTTGTTAGTTGTTTTTCATCAATTCAATTACATTACAGGGCCTTATGACCGACATAGCTATTAAGTTACCGCAGAACGAGCAGAGAATACCTGTTGTGACGCCATTGCTGGGCAAACCTTATACCGAGCAGAATCTGAGGGCCATCATTGGTGCGTTGCAGTTGGTTTCCAAAACGAATGTACAACAAGCTATGAACGGTTCTATTTGAGTATTGCTTTGCTACAAAGGAATGTTAAAAATGTTTAGTTATTAACTATTTTGTTTTTTACATGCATATATACTAGCACTCAAAAAGAAAGCATGTACTAAAATATTTGATTTAATAATTCTATCTATTCTTTATATCTTCAACTGTTTAAAAATCATTGCGTTTAAGTGCAAAGTTTCTATTAAAAATATTCTATACGTAGCATCTTATCATATTGCGACTAAAACCGTGAAAATGCGTTTTATGTTTATGGGTATACATATGTGTCAATTAAGTTACAGTGCAAACTACACTCTTTCATTGGATATATTGCATTTAGTATTCTTTTTGTATCGGTCAGTACGACGATCCGAATCCATATATTATATAGGAAAACTATTCTCTCGACAGATATCCCGCTAAATTTTAGGCACATCGGATTTTTTTCCTTTGCAAGTACACCTTCTGTCAAGTGCAAGTTAAGATATTTCTGAATTGTTACTCACACAATAAAGCTGGTAGGGGCGATAATTTCAATTTCAGAATGTGCTCTTCTGATGTTACATAATAAACGATTTCATGTATACCAAAGTACGCAACGAAAAGGTGCAAATTAATGGATAGATGGTTTTATTTCAACACAGAGTTTTATTTTTAAGCTAGTTTGCACAATTCGCACATTACAACAAAAAAGATAGATAATTATCTATTAATTATGTGTGCAAAGTTTGGTTTAGATAGTATTAGCGAAAATCAAATCAGGGAAAATCAATAAAATAAAATAAACTTGTATAGACTAGGGACTAGAAGCGTCTGCATACCAGGATTGGTGGGTTCAGCCACTTCTCGTCATGCTGATTCAGAATATATACTAATATACTATGTACATACATATATTTTATGGGGTCGGAGATGCTTCCTTCTGCCTGTTACATACTTTGCATAAGCCTTATATACCCTTTTTACCCTACGGGTACAGGGTATAAAAACGACGGTCAATGGCAGATTCAATTAAGATAATCAATTAAAAACGTATGTTTAAAATTATAAACAAATGAACCAAAGAATTAAAAAAAACGAAAGCTTTGTAAACAGCTGTGTGATTGGCTGACACTACTGGATCAGAAGTACCTCTTACCCAATCTTATAGTCTTCAAAGTAAAGGTGAGAAATTGTGGGAAATGTGTGATTCGGCTTAAACAGACTTGGTTTAAATAGAAGGACAGAAAGTGACCCTTAAGAAGAGTTCACATTAGGAGATAGGGAATATCTGATTATTATATTGACTATTGTATGATGGGCGGAGCTTGGCACCGACTTGTAACGGATATGGCAATATACCGAGATATATGTACATACATGTGTACTTATACTCTCTGATGACCTGCCAATTTCAGTAGCGGTGTGCCGAACCATTCATTTGCTGCCGAAGTTCTGCTGGATAGAAATACTTAGGCCCAAATACGTGTCATGTCTACAAAGAAATGTAGAAGTGTGAATAAGCCAGTTACCAATAACCAGTTATATATGTAAATATATCATAGCATAAGCAATTAAAGATGCAGTGGCTGTGCAAAAGCCGCGAAAAACAAGCCGTGACCATGGTCATAGAATATGCAGTGCTGCAATGAAAAACAAGTAAAAAAGCTAAAATCGGGTGTCCCGACTTTGAAATTCTCTGTACATATGTTTAGAATAATTATAGAAAATAAAAAAATAAGAAAATTAAAAAAAAAAATTTGGTTCTATTTTACCTCTCTCGGTATTCGTACTCACGTAAAGGGTGTATAATTGCACATTTACATACATAGCAATTGCGTCTATGTGAGTGTATGTATGTTTATGTGTGTCTGTGTAAGCATGTTTGCAGTCAAGCAAAGCATCAACAACATCTGTTGGCAGCGCTTGAGCAGCAAATATATTTATGGCTATAACTTCTTTTTAAGTCGGTCTATCATAGTGAAACTGGCATACGGACACATAATCACTAACTGGGGGTATTTGCAAAATTTGAGTTCGAAATTCCAAGAACTACGGGAGTTACGATTTGTGGGGGAGAGGGGCGGGAGGAAAATTCCAAAATACACATTTTCTGCGTATTCACATAAGGCATCTTGGGCTAATTTGGTGTCCTTAGGTCTTATAGTCTCTGAGATATAGGCGAATATACGAATGGAAAATCGTGAAAATTCCCATAGGGGGGAAGTAGGGGGCCAATCAAAAAATAAAACAAACTTGCACAGCGTACACACATAACGCATCTTTGTGCAAAGTTTGGTGTCTCTACCTCTTATAGTCTCCGAGATCCAGGTGTTCATACGGACTGACAGACACACAGGGCTAGATCGACTCGATATATATATATACTTTGTGGGGTCTGCCATGCCTCCTTCTGCCTGTTACATTTTTCAAGTACAGAGAAACGTAATACTAACCGAGTGGTGAATATTATTACACCATAAAAGACAATAAATTCTTGTTGGACTCTAGTCAAAGGCTAAACGGTGGTGTGAAGAATATTATGTATGTGCTATTAAAGCCACGGGGTCAGATCTGGCTTCCCACTTTTCCACATTGCTCCTTGCAACTTCCACTCATTGCAAATCAAAATATTTTTCGTTGACATATGTACATATCTATAGTAGAAAACAAGAAAGCAATGCTAAAGTCGAGCGAGCACAACTCTTAAATACCCTGTAATTAAATTATTTAATTTCATTAAATACAATTTTTTCAATACCTATATATGATAGTGGAGACATGTTCATGTACAGTTTCAACAGCATAGAGCAGCACAAAGTTGAACCAAAGCAGCAACAACAACAACAGCTGCGGGCAGCGCTACAAGCAGAGCAAGGGCAGCGATTTTATTTGTGGCTATAACTTTCTTCATAATTGACCTATCATGATGACACTTATCATACGGACAAATAACCACAAACTGGACGTAACTACTAAAACTGATTTCAAAATTACAAGATGTTCGGAAGTTGGGGTGTATCAGAAAAAAAACACAAACTCGATCTGCCTAGGGATTAGGGGCACCTGAATGCCAAGTTTGGTTATGCTAGCTATTGTACTTACTGAGATCGTTGCGCTCATACAAACAGACGAACGGACAGACGGACATGGCTAAATCGACTCGGCTTGTCACCATGATCAAGAATATATGTATATACTTTGTGCCACGCCTCCTTCTGTGTGTTACATATGTACATATGTATGTATGTATGTATGTACATTCGCACAAAACTAGTATAGCCTTTCACCCTTTGGGTACAGGCTATAATTATATACAGATGTATTCGCAAATAGCGGTATTTGCCAAATTTGAGTTAAAAATTCCAAGAATTACGGAAAAAGAAGTATTTGCAACCGCGAGGGGGAGGGAGGGAAATTCCAAAATACACAATTTCTGCGTAATCATATAAGGCATCTTGGAATAATTGGGTTGTGCGGTAAATGAAAATAAAACAAGCTCCGATAGCGTACACACATAAGGCGTCTTTGTGCTAAATTTCGTGTCTCTATCTCTTATAGTCTCTGAGATCCAGGTGTCGTGGAGACAGGGCTAGATCGACTCGCCTTGTCATGCTGACCAAAAATATATGTACATATGTATGTATATACTTTGTGGGGTCTGCCACTCCTCCCTCTGCATGTTACATTTCCCCCCTTCCACAAACCTAATACACTCTTGTACATTTCATGTACAGAGTAAAAAAACGCAACAGGGTATTTATTTTTATACTCTGTACATGAAATGTACAAGAGTATATTAGGTTTGCGGGAGCTGAAAAATGTAACAGGCAGAAGGAGGCGTGGCAGACCCCACAAAGTATGTATATATATTATTGATCAGCGTGACAAGACGAGTCGATCTAGCCCTGTCTGTCCGTATAAACACATGGATCTCAGAGACTATAAGAGATAGAGACACCAAATTTTGCACGAAGATGCGTTATGTGTGTATTCTATACGAGTTTGTTTTATTTTTTTGATTTTTTCCCCCACTTCCCCCCTATGGGGGTTTTCCCGATTTTCCATTCGTATAATCGCCTATATCTCGGAGACTATAAGACCTAGGCACACCAAATTTTAGTCCAAGATGCCTTGTGTGAATACGCAGAAAATGTATATTTTGGAATTTCCCTCCCTCCCCCCTCTACCACGCAAATCGTAACTCCCGTAATTCTTAGAATTTCGAACTAAAATTTCGGAAATACCCGCAGTTGGTTGATATGTGTCCGTATGCCAAGTTTCACTATGATAGACCGATTTACCAAGAAGTCATAGCCATAAATATATTTGCTGCTGCAGCGCTGCTCAAGCGCTGCCCGCGGCTGTTGATGTTGCTGTTTGGTTGACTGCGAAAATGCTTACACAGACACGAATTGATGCGCATAGGCATACATACACTCACACAGACGCAATTGCTATGTAAATGTGCAATTATACACCCTTTACGTGAGTTCGAATACCGAGAGAGGTAAAATCGATCCAATTTTTTTTATTTATTTTTTTTTTATTTTCTATAATTATTGTAAACATATGTACAGAGTATTTCAAAGTCGGGACACCCGACTTTAGCTTTTTTACTTGTTTTGTATTAAGTTACCACGATACCCTTGGGTATTGTGGAATTATTTGGCCGCCCACTTATTGGTAAAGTGGAAATTGCCACGCGGGTTATTTCGTATTGTTTGCTTGTCTTTAAAGTTTAACATTGATTTCTTTTATAAAGTTGACCAGTGAATTGTACTCAGCTGTGGCCGCTTGCTTGAAAAAAGTGTGCACATTGTTGTATTTTGCTAGTGATGTGTCATGTGTTGAGTTGCAATTTGAACACCGTTCGGAGAACATCTTTTAGCAATCCTTTGCTAATAGTTCACCCGTACTTCAAGCACTCGAGTAGATGTTCTCCGAACGGTGGTCAAATTGGAATGCAGGGTATTTCTTATTTTGATAATTCCGCGGTGTTACAAACAGGTGATTTACATATTGACAATATGGTAGCATCGATTAATACCAAAAAAAATCTTATGTGCTTCGTGTTTTGATTATTGTCAATTTAACTGTGAAAACTTATAACCGAAATATTTTTTCGCACTATTGGTTTTCTGGGATGAATATAGCAAAATATAATAATTTGCATAAAAACTACAATACATAGTTTAGCTTTCATAATAAATAAGATCATTTATATCAAAAGGTCTGGCAGCACTGCAAAATACTAATAACAAATTCTGCATTTTTCTCCAGCATGATCCATTTTCTTATTGTCGTTTTCGCGATACAATCACCTCTGGCTGGAGTTACTAATTTTTATTTTGGGTTTCAAAAATATTGATTACATTTTTAAATGGTAGCATGAGTCGCGATGATCACTTAAATTGGTTTCACGGCAGTTTGACACGCGATGCCGCGGATGATCTGTTAAAGCAAGGTAAGCACACAAATCAAGAAACAGCTATGTATATCTGTAAATCAACTTTATTTGAACAAAGGTTATGAAGATGGAACATTTCTGGTGCGCGAAAGTAGCACAGCAGCTGGAGACTTTGTACTGAGTCTACTTTACCAGGTAATTTGATGCTAAGCCACATTAAATACAAGTGGATATGATGATAATTTGTACATGTGTTGTACTCTGACACCATACATACATATGTATGTATATTCATACATATACATACTCTACATACATACATACATACATATATACAAATCTGTTTGTATGCATATAAATATACATATAAACATATGTACATATATGCATGTACATGTGTGTGTACATGTTTTTGACTTTTTAGGGCGAGGTTTGCCATTATCAAATAAGACGTCATGGTGAGGACGCCTTTTTTTCCATTGACGACAAAGTGCAAACCAAGATTCTGCACGGCCTAGACACATTAGTCGAGTACTACCAAGAGGCAGCCAATGGACTTGTTACTCATCTGACGGTTCCGCTGATCCGAGATGCACCGCCACATAACACACGCAGTCATGGCGTCACCAATCTATTGCACCGCGCAACAGGTAAAAACGACTCTAAAGTCGTTTTCGAGCTCCTTAAATGTGGCTATCGAAATTTTGACGCTAAAAATCAAGATGGTCAAACGGCTCTACATTTGGCGGCGCTGCATTGTGACGAGGAAATATTAAAGCTTTTGCTGGACGCACGCGTTCAAGTAAACAGCATGGACTCGTTTGGCTACCAACCTCTACATGTAGGTGACAAGGCACTAGGATTGTTTTCATGTGCTAACTACAATTTTTCTTCTCCAGTATGCATGTCGTCATAAATCAGCCACATTTATACGAACACTCATAGCAGCTCAAGCCAACGTGCAGGGACGGAACATTGAAAACGGACATGTCCCGTTACACGAGGCTGCCAAGTATGGTAATCTGGAGGCGGTACAGGAACTACTAGAGGCACACGCCCCACTTTTGCCACGCACCAATTCTGGAGAATTCCCTTTTGATCTTGCCAAGGAGTCTGGTCAGACGCAAGTAGAGGGGTTCCTGCTAAACTACAAGCTGCCACTGGCAAATACAAATAAGGAACAATGGTATCACGGCACATTAACGCGCGATGAGGCTACATCTATTCTCAAGAAACACGCCAGCGATCAACAGGCTTCACAGCTGGCGGCATCACATACTTCAGATACTTCGGGATGCTTTCTAGTGCGATACTCGGAGTCTCCCGCTGGAGCTGGGTATGTACTGACATTGCTGTGCGAAGGGATGACGAAAAACTTTCGCATCTCGCAGGCTGAACTTTTTCAATATATTAAAGCCCGGCCAGACTTGGGCCGCAGCAGCTTACAGTCAAAGTTTCTCTACATTGACGATGGACCATATTGGCCAAGTCTGGAGCATTTGGTGGAGCACTTCATGCGCTTCTCATATGGTCTACCGGTCCGTCTCAGGTATCCGGTGCCACCACAACCCAAGCCAGAGTTACCGTCCTTTGCGACGATACCACGTAGCATTCCGAAGCGTACTTTACCTGCAGCAATAGATTGCCACGTGTCCACCATAGGCATAACCAAGAAAAAGGAGAGCAGCTCCATGTTCAACACACTCCGATTAACTAGCCCTAAAAAAGCCCTTTTCGACATGAACAGTCTGCGCAAATGTAAGACAAAGCCTAAGCGTAACAAATCGGAGTCAGAGGTTTCAGTCGGGAAGGCGCATCACAATACTGAGGAGTTTCATGCTACTGCGCCAATGCTACAGAATTTACGTTTCTTCACCGAGTTTAGCAGCGTTCAAACTGATTCTGGTGGGAATGCGAATCCGCCACTTGGTGCTGCGGCTATCGAATTCTACAATGTGCCAAAAAATAATTCGGCCGTCGAGCCACCATTGCCAAGCACACTGAACATATCAACCAAGACTGAAGCCGAAAATGAGTATTTCACCAAGAGCGATTTGCTTATTACACGAGACCGTGATCTTAATAGCAATGGCTACTTGCCCACCACTGACGTGCGCTTTGTTGTGGATTCTGGGGAGGGCAGTCAAATTATTAAAGAAATTGGCTATGACAGAAAACAGACAGCACGTTTAGATTCGTTCATTTCATCCTGTTCGACGGAGAGCGAAATGGCCAGCTATTTGCATAGGCAGTGTAATGGATCCTTTACTTCGGAAAACTCTTCAACTGATACGAACAAAGAAAGATTCTTTATACAAGCAGAGAATATCGAGCGAGAAGGTGTTATTGGCGAAGGTGAATTCGGCTCTGTGTACAAAGGGTGGCTGTTGACACGGAACAGCACTACAGGTGTTGATGTGCGTGTAGAAGTAGCCATTAAGACGCTACGTGACGAGCATAGCAACAAAAAGGAGTTTCTGCGTGAAGCGTCGGCCATGATTCGCCTGCAGCACCAGTGCATTGTACAGCTGATTGGAATTGCCAAGGACCCCGAAAATCTTATGATGGTACAGGAACTTGCTTCGTTGGGTTCTATGCTGCATTTCATTATAAACAACAGTGAGCAGATCCGAGACTGCTCCGAATTCAAGCTGTGGGCATCTCAAATTGCGGAGGGTAAGCATTACCAAACATAGTTGTTATTCTGAAAATTATAAAGTCAAACTGTTTGTTGCAGGAATGAACTATCTGGTATCTCAGCACTTCGTACATCGAGATCTGGCCGCTCGCAACATTTTGCTCGCTTCACGGCGCCAAGCCAAAATAAGTGACTTCGGCATGTCGCGCTCCCTGAGCACGGGTAGCGATCAGTATACCTTCACTCAGGGCGGCAAATGGCCCCTTCGGTGGTACGCACCCGAGAGTTTTAATAATGGCATCTTCTCTCATGCCAGCGACGTTTGGTCTTTTGGCATTACACTTTGGGAAATGTGGGCCTTAGGAAAGCCGCCATATGGCGAAATCAGCAACGTGGATGTAATAAAGCTTGTGGATAGTGGACAGCGTTTACCGAAACCAGATTTATGTCCAGTTAACATCTACGCAATCATGAACAGCTGTTGGAACTATAGTCCGAAAAACCGACCCACATTTGCTTATCTCAAAGAGTTCTTTGCGCGCACTTTGGACTATCAAAATTTGCTAGAGATGGCTGAAACTGTGCGCATTTAAAAAGACTTTCGGTCGCCATTTTTATGTTAAAATACCCTTCAACAAAGTACCGAAACTATTTTTTAACGTGGAGAATTTGATACATCATTAGAACTGAACTGTCAAACCTACGAACGAATATCGCTTATCTATTTATCTTGTTTTCGTAAATGTCTAAGTTTTTGTTTGTTAAAAATAGAATAGATATTTTCAAAAGGTATTTAAACCATGCACCCCAAGGGTGAATGGGTGTATTAGAAAGTTTAAACGCCAAACGCGTTATATGTATGATGAGCATGGCGAGATGAATCGATATACATAGATAGGTCAGTTTGTCCGTCCGTATAAACATTGAAACTTAAAAACAAAAAAAACAAAAAATTGGATATCAACCTGGTATGTAAACTAATTTATATGCAAGCTTATTAAAAACTATTTATAGCCTCACTATATGATGTAGCCGCCATACGAAGGATCAGTGCAACAATCAATGGTAGGACCAAAAATATTTTGGTTGTTTACGATATCGTAACTAAAATTGGTTCTTATGGGGTTTCTACAGTGCCTCGTATAGTAGACATAGGATGATCGGCGCAGTAACCAAGCTTGGTACCAAAAACATTGTTTTTAATTGGAAGATGAATCAAAATGAATTAACTATATTATTATATAGCTGCTATAGAAATGATTTTACAAGAAAGTTTATTATATCCTGTATCCAAAGGGTGAAAGGCTATACTAGTTTTGTGCGGATGTATGTAACAGGCAAAAGGAGGCGTGGCAGACCCCACAAAGAATATATATTCTTGATCAGGGTGACAAGCCGAGTGGATATAGCCATGTCCGCCTGTATGAGCGCAAGGATCTCAGAAAGTACAAGAGCCCTAGGCAGGTCGAGTTTGTTTTTTTATTCTAATACAACCCCCTCCCCAGCAATTCGTGTTCTTATACCCCGTACCCGTAGGGTAAAAAGGGTATATTAGGTTTGTGCAAAGTCATGCTGATTCAGAATATATATACTTTATGGGGTCGGAGATGCTTCCTTTTGCATGTTACATACTTTGCACAAACCTAATATACCCATTTTACCCTACGGGTACAGGGTATAAAAATATTAAATCGAGATGCTTCAGAAAGTATAAGCAGTCGGGTTCAACTTTTCATTTTTCTAAATAGTCCATAGCCAAATCAAATTTTCTTATTCTTAATTTCAATGTTATAAAAATTACCTTGCCCGATGCAAGTTACAATTCGCTAAGGACCCTAAACAGTTCTATAGTTTCGTTAACTCAAAACGAACAAGTAAAAAGCTAAAGTCGGGTGTCCCGACATTGAAATACTCTGTACATATGTTTACAATAATTATCGAAAATAAAAATAAGAAAATTAAAAAAAAAATTGGATCGATTTTGCCTCTCTCGGTATTTGAACCCACGTAAAGAGTGTATAATTGCACATATACAAAGCAATTGCGTCTGTGTGAGTGTATGAATGCCTATGAGCATCTATTCGTGTCTGTGTAAACATGTTTGCTGTCAACCAAAGCATCAGCATCAACAACAGCAGCGGGCAGCGATGGAGCAGCAAATATATTTATGGCTATAACTTCTTGTAAATCGGTCTATCATAGTGAAACTTGGCATACGGACACATAATGAATAACTGGGGGTATTTCCCAAATTTTAGTTCATTCGGGAGTTACGATTTTAGGGGGAGAAGGAGGGAAATTCCAAAATACACATTTTCTGCGTATTCACATAAGGCATCTTGGACTAAAATTTGGTGTCCCTAGGTCTTATAGTCTCCGCGATATAGGCGATTATATGAATTGAAAATCGGGGAAACCCCCATAGGGAGGAAGTGGGGGGTGGGGGGATATCCAAAAAATAAAACAAACTCGTGTAGCGTACACACATAAGGCATCTTTGTGCAAAATTTGGTGTCTCTATCTCTGAGATCCAGGTGTTCATACGGACGGACAGACAGACAGACAGGGCTAGATCGTCTCGTCTTGTCATGCTGATCAAGAATGTATATACTATGTGGGGTCTGCCACGCCTCCTTCTGCCTGTTACATTTTTCAGATCGCGCAAACCTAATATACTCCTGTACATTTCCTGCACAGAGCACTATGGTCCAGAAGTCGTTTTTTCTGGCATAGAGTCGAAATTTCGATGTGAACATATCATATTTTTGATTTCAAATTATTTAACAAAATATCTCAGACACATACAAAATTAAAAAAAAAAATTAAAAGCTTCACTGAAGCTTTTTGTGAGCTTTTAAAGTTAACAATCGATCAGCTACTTATGAAAAAGAATTATTAATTAATTTAATTACTTTTTTGTGGGGTGGTACAAGGTATTTAAGAGTTGAGCCTGCTCCACTTTAGCATTCCTTTCTTGTTTTTCATCTCAAAATAACACCTTTTGCTCGTTTTTGGCCCTTTTTCGGAAAAATTGTATTTATTGCCGCAAAACTCGTGTTTTGGCACGCAGAAATTGTTGGCATTCGGGGCAGTAACAGATCCTCAGAAGACGCATTTGAGCAGTATATATTGCAGAAAATTTAAGCTAAAATCGTAAATGAATATAATATTAAGTTGATATTAAAAAGCACATGCCAAGTTGTAATCGAACTCTAGAGAAATTTTATAAAAACACTCGAATTGGCATGCTTCTAACATGGCTGTTGAAATTGATGGTAATTTTGAGTCTTGATTGAAAACGGTGCTGTCGAGCAAGCCCGACAGTGAAATACCCTATACCCAGACAAACTCCTGGCATTGAGTTGCGCCCAAAGCAGAAGCAAAAAAAAAGGCGAGCGTAGTTGATGCTGCAGCTTGTGGGCGTAGTACTGGATTGAAATTGTTTCGCTAATAACTCTTCTTAGAATTAACCGATTTGGATAAAGTAAAGTAAATAATTGTATATTGATTACGTGCCAAGTTTTGTTTATATTGCTTTTAAAATGTGGACAGTATTGACTAAATTCTATAGCGTTGGGAGAGAGGGGAGGGGGGGAGGACTTGAATATGTACATGTTTATAAAATTATATTAGTATTACTATTATAATTAAAAATGAAACAAATACATAGTTTAAAACACTGAAAATGCTCACAGGCTCATAGTCGTATGGGAGGTAGGAGTGGGCGTGGTCCAATCCACCCACATTTTTTCCATTAATTTCTAATAACATAAATTCTATATGTGCCATTTTTGAAGACGATACCTTCTTTTTTGGACTTTATGCCTTACCCTTATTGCTGCAGTTTGTTGGCGTAGTATCGAAGTGAAATTGTTTCGCTAATAACTTTTTTTTAGAACCAACCGATTTAGATGAAATTTTAAGCAAAAGTAGATAATTATATAGAAATGATGTGTACAAAGATTGGTTAGGGTAGCTTTTGAAATGTGGACGCTATTGGCGAAATTCTGTAGCGGGGGAAAATTCCAAAAAAAAAATAAACTCGTCCTTTCTCGGACCTAGGAGAATCTGGATACCAACTTTGGTTATTCTAGCTTTTATAGTTTCTGAGATCCTTGCGTTCATCCAGACGGACAGACGGACATGTCTAGATCGATTTCTCTCGTCATGCTGATTCAGAATATATGTATATACTTTATGGGGTCGGAGACGCTCTTCTTCTTCCTCTTTTTGCTGCTGCTTTGGGCGCATATAACTCAGTGACGGAAGTTTACCTGGGTACAGGGTATTACACTGTCGGGCTTGCTCGACTGTAGCGTTCTCTCTTGTTAATTTATTTATTTATGACCTCCCCTCTACCTTGTCACACTCTCATATACTTATATATGCTGATGATGTGAAACTTGCACCTCAATTGTTCTAAATGCAAGTTCATGACCTTTTATCGAGCTTCGCCCCTTTTAGTCACATATACGATTGACAATGTGTCATTGCAGCGTATATCGACTGTTGAAGACCTTGAGGTTCTTTTTGATTCCAAATTGAACTTCAATCTTCACATCTCTAGCATTGTTGGATATTTCTCTTTTACTCTTTCTCTTTATGGTTAATTAGACGTTAAGTAGAATTACTTTTTTTTCTGTAATTACTATTTTTTTAGCCTGTTAGATATATAATGTCTCTGACCACATATGGCTGTGATTCGGGGCATAGCTGGCCAAATGGCAAATAAACGTGTCGGAAGCATAGACGTTATTGTACAGCTTTGTGTTAGGCTTTCTTATCTTTTAAGTTTAGTTTAAATTGTTATATTAAGTTATACCATCATTTTATTTTTTATTTTAATATATATAAAATGTTAAAATATATTTTAATTATTATAATCGACAGAACTATTGTTGTACTAAATAAAATAAAGAAAGAGGATATTGAGCTTGATTGTGAATGGAAAGAAAAAATGCGGAATCGATTGATACAATAAATATATTTTTTATTGGCTTCACAATTATCGACCCATTTGTAACATCCATCGTGATTTAAAATAAAATGTGTACATGAGTAACGGAGCAAGTTATTACATTCCAAAATACGGCTATTTAGTACTGGGCTTGTACATACATATGTATTTTTCCCTGAGCCAAGTGTGCAGCAGAGTGCAGAGTGGAGTGATGGGGCGGGTAGTGTCAGCTGAACATTTATTTGACATCATTTGCGTTGAAGGATAAGTATATTTATAGCCTGTACCCAAAGGGTAAAAGGCTATAGTAGTTTTGTGCGAATATATGTAACACACAGAAGGAGGCGTGGCAGACCTCATAAAGTATATATATTCTTGATCAGGATGACAAGACTAGTCGATATAGCCATGTCCGTCTGTCCGTCCTTCCGTCCGTCTGTATGAACGCAACGATCTCAGCAACTACAATAGCTAGGATTACCAAACTTGACATTCAGGTTCCCCTAAGCCCTAGGCAGATCGAGTTTGTGTTTTTTTTTTCTGATACACCCCCCACTCCCCCGCAATTCGTGTTTTTTTCCATAACTCCCGTAATTATTGGAATTTCAAAATCTCAAATTTGGTAGTCACATCCAGTTAGTGATTATGTGTCCGTATGCCAAGTTTCATCATGATAGGTCAATTCTGAAGAAAGTTATAGCCATAAATAAAATCGCTGCCCATGCGCTGCTTGCAGCTCTGCTCGGAGCTGTTGTTGTTGTTGCTACTTTGGTTCAACTTTTTGCTGCATACATACATGCATAGACCCGATGATGTATGCTGTTGAAACTGTACATAAGCATGTCTTCTATGTATATATTAAAAATTTTTATTTAATTTAGTTAATTAATTCCATTTTTTTTAAAGAATTTTTTTTTTAAATAATTTTTATTTTAAATAATTTTTATTTTATTTTTCTTTTTTTGTGGGGAGTATAGGCTATTTTACTGTCGGGCTTGCTCGACTGTAGCGTTCTATCTTGTGTTATACTCTGCACATGAAATGTACAAGAGTATATTAGGTTTGCGGGAGCTGAAAAATGTAACAGGCAGAAGGAGGCGTGGCAGACCCCACAAAGTATATACACATATTCTTGATCAGCACACCTGGATCTCAGAGACTATAAGAGCTAGAGACACCAATCAACCTATGGACGATTTTCCGATTTTCCGTTCGTATAATCACCTATATATGTAACTCCCGTAACTCTTGTAATTTTTAACTCAAATTTGGCAAATACCTCCAGTTAGTGATTGAGTCCGTGCCGATTTAACAGGAAGTTATAGCCATATATGTATGTAATCTCAGGCCAAGCAGTGCTTGTAGCAGTTGTTGTTGCTGCTGTGCACTGCACTTCTGCTTGGCACTGCACTTCTGCTTTGCTCTGCATACATGAGGAGACACAGAAACACATACTATTATTATTTACCAGGGACTGCAAATAGTGATTATTTTGTTATTTTTAAACGAAACAATCATTCACTTATAGTAACTTTGAAAAAGCGGGGTCTGTACAGATATCATTTTTTAAGGACTATCTATCCATTTTCAACATGATTTATATTTCATAATTTTTACTCATTCACTAAAAATGTAATAATTATTTTTCAGTGTTACTTTAAAAACAAGTAAGTCGGGTGTAACGACTTCGAAATATTCGTCTCTATTCGTGTCTGTGTAAGCATGTTTGCAGTCAACCAAAGCATCAGCATCAACAGCTGCGGGCAGCGGTTGGGCAGCGCTTGAGCAGCAAATATATTTATGGCTATAACTTCTTGTTAAATCGGTCTATCATAGTGAAACTTGGCATACGGACACATAATGGGGGTATTTCCCAAATTTGAGTTCGAAATCCCAAGAATTACGGGAGTTACGATTTGGGGGAGGGAGGGAAATTCCAAAATACACATTGTCTGCGTATTCACATAAGGCATAAGGACTAAAATTTGGTTATCCCTAGGTCTTATAGTCTCCGAGATATATGCGATTATTCGAATGGAAAATCGGGAAAACCCCCATAGGGGGGAAGTGGGGGGAAAAATCAAAAAAATAAAACAAACTCGTATAGAATACACACATAAGGCATCTTTGTGCAAAATTTGGTGTCTCTAGCTTTTATAGTATCTGAGATCCAGGGCTAGATCGACTCGTCTTGTCATGCTGATCAAGAATATATATACTTTGTGGGGTCTGCCACGCCTCCTTCTGCCTGTTACATTTTTCAGCTCCCGCAAACCTAAAATACTCTTGTTCATTTCATGTACAGTTGAGCAAGCCCGACAGTAAAATACCCTGTACTCTGTACAAAAAAAAAAGAAAATTAAAAAAAAATTATTTGAATGAGTTAATTAATTAAATAAATTAAATATAAAATATTCAACACATGCATACAAGTATAATAAATTTACATCAGTATCGTGTCTCTGCGTGTATGTATGCAGCACAAAGTTGAACCAAAGCAGCAACAACAACAACAGCTGCGGGCAGAGCACAGGCAGCGATTTTATTTGTGGCTATAACTTTCTTCAGAATTGACCTATCATGATAAAACTTGGTGTACAGATGTATAATAACTAACTGGAAGTTACTACCAAATTTAAGTTCAAAATTCCAAGAATTACATACTCGTCCTTTCTCGGGCTTAAGAGAATCTGGTTAGCAAGGTTGGTTATTCTAGCTCTTATAAAGTTATAGTCATAAATAAAATCGCTGCCCATGCGCTGCCTGGAGCTCTGCCCGCAGCTGTTGTTGTTGTTGCTGCTTTGGTTCATTTTTGTGCTGCATACATACACGCATAGACACGATGATGTAAATGTATGGTGTTAAAACTGTACATAAACATGTCTTCTATGTATGTATTAAATAAATTTTCTTTATTAATTTAAATAATTAATTCCATTTTTTTTTAATAATTTAATTTAAAATTTTTTTTTTTCCTTTTTTGTGCTCGACTGTAGCGTTCTCTCTTGTTTTATATTTAATTAATGAAAGGGTATACATATAATTGCCGTAATAATTAGTATCTGACAATCACATCCGGCGAGGGCATACATATGTATCGTCTGTCACCGTGACAATTCAGTTCCAAACGAAATTATAGCCATAATTGTAAACTGTGCCCAATCTGTGTTGTTACATCATTGGTTTAACTCTGTAGCATAAACAAACTGGTAAAAAATAGCTGTAATGAAGTATAAATACATGTTATAACGTAGGATTTATATATTATTTGTTTTATTATTTGTAATTATCTTAAACTTAAAAACTTTAAGAGTTGGGCGCCCACAATTCCATTTCTTTTTCATTGTATTTTGCTGTTACAAGAGCCTGCTTTAAATACAAATGTGTAGTTATACTAATATTGGTGACTTTTTTTAACACTTTTTCTATTAGGCGAGAACAAACTTAGGAATAACAATTAAAAAATATTTAAATAACATATCAGATATACTCACATTTAATGTCAGAAATGTTGATGTTTCATATGTTTATGCCATTTCGTCTTTACAATATACAAATAAAGGCAACGTAAAATATTAGCATGTCAATAACAACACGTTTGTTTCGGTGCAGCATATTTATTTGCTGCATGTTACTTGTTTCTTTTTCATTGTTGTTGGATTATTAAGTATTGCGGCAACTTAAGTTACTTTTTTGTAGTAAGCTACATATGTACCCATTTCTATACCCCCATACATATAGTATACACAATCATACAGACATCTCTTCCCTCCAACTCTGTGGACAAACAAAGCTACATTCATATAAACATCGCTTATGCGCTAGGTTTTTTTTTTTGCTATTGTGAATTGTGTTTTATTACTTTTCGCCTTTTTCGAAACCGCACACCACAAATTTTTCTGTTTAGCTGCATTATGGAGATTCGAAAAATTGCACAAAAATAATTACTATTAACAAAAAATTTCGGCTGTGTCGTTTATACTGCTGATGGTGTTGTTTGGTCCTTTGCTGCTGCGGCGCTGCGTTGTTTCTGCTACTTTCTTCAATAATTAATGGAAAATAACTAAATTCTAATGTAGAACATAATCTTGTAACATATATAAGCATTATGAAAGCATATAGTTGATTAAGCTTATGACTTTTTCTTGGTATTTGTTGTCGCTGGTATTTTGTGGCTGCTCGTGTTGGTGGATGGTAGTTTATGTTGCTGATGATGTTTGAATGTAGTTTTTTTTTAATTCGTTATTGAAGAGAGCTTCTGGGATACTCCATTCACAGTCTTTGATTTAAGGACATCGTTTTCATATGAGAAGACAGTCTCCTTTCCATTTTCGAAGACTCTGAAAGGAGGAAGAATTATAATAAATAAATGAGCGAACATATGTAAGTACCGATCAAAACAGGATGTAAATTTTGAGGTCTTATTGATGGTTGGTATAGTCTTTAATATTTGCACACAGTATTAATATTTACTGTTACTCCTTGCATTTGTTGATGTTTATTGTTAAATTGCAAATATTACAAATATGTGCATATAGCAGAAGAAATCATAAAACAAGTAAAAAAGCTAAAGTCGGGTGTCCCGACTTTGAATACTCTGTACATATGTTTACAATAATTATAGAAAATAAAAAAATTAAGAAAATTAAAAAAAAAATTTGATCTTTTTTACCTCTCTCGGTTTTCGAACTCACGTAAAGGGTGTAAAAAAAATATAACAAACTCGTATAGCGTACTTACATAAGGCATCTTTGGGCAAAATTTGGTGTCTCTATCTCTTATAGTCTCTGAGATAGAGGTGTTCATACGGACGGACAGACAGAGCGACGCTCTACGAATAAGAGCCAAATCTACTATTAATTTTCGTAACTTTAGCTTTTTCTAGCCAAAGGGTACACACATTAGTTTTTTGCGAATGTACATATATATAACGCCCAGAGGACGCGTGGCAGACCCCCCAAAAGTAAATATATTCTTGATCACGATGACAATAATATAATAAAAAAACTTTGTATCCAGATTCTCCTAAATTCGAAAAAGGACAAATTTGTATATTTGTTTTTATACCCCCTAGGTTAAAAAGGGTATATTAGGTTTGTTTAAAGCATGTAACAGGCAGAAGAAATCATCTCCGACCCCAGAAAGTATTTATATTCTTTATTAGCATGACGGAAGAAATCGACCTAGATATGTCCTTCCGTCTGCCTCGATTTCGGAAACGGTTCAGTGCACATTTACCAAACTTTGTATATAGACGCTCCTAGTTCCTAAGCTACGAGTTTATTTTATTTTTTTGATTTTCCTTATCCTCTCCACGCTACAGAAATTCGTCAATACTGGCCATATTTCAAAAGCAACATAAACAGGCCTTGCGCGACATTAGCGTTCTCATTATTTATCGATGCACCCGCCATTAGTGACTTTCCACATCCGGTTATTGTTTATATGTCCACATGTCAAGTCATCATGATAACTTAACTTTGAAGAATGTATTAGGTATGATCAAGTTCAAGAATATATGTATATACTTTGTGGGGTATACCACGCCTCATTCTGTGTGTTACATACATTGGTATAGAACTAGTATACCCTTTTACCTTTTGGGTGTAAGGTATAAAAATAAAATAAACTCTTGTTGCCTAGGGACTGGGAGCGTTTAATTCTGTCAATTATCTTCACTATTTACAGGCGTCATCAATTCGTCGTGGGGGTACTGTACTGATCGCAGTCAAATCCACCTTCGATCAGAATTAGTATATGTAAATATGACTGGTGAAGTAGAATTTGTTGCTGTTAAAGTACCTCTACCTTCACACGCTGTATTTATCACATGTTCATATATTCCACCTTCGGTTGATTTGCAATTTTATACGTCCCATATGAATTGTATCTCATTTCCGGGATAATGACGCACTTATTCTGGTTAGTGCTTTCAATATGCCAAATATTCACTGAAACTGATTGGTCAATTCTGTAAAATTCGGTTGGCATTGAAATTGCGTCTATTTATTTCTATGAGACCAATTTCTCCCTTTTCGTTGTATCACCTTTCTCACTTAAACATTCTTGGTTGATAGTGTAGTTTTTCCAATTATTTGGAAAAATTTCTTTACTATTCCGCTACCCAAAAAGCATGAAAGACAGAAATGTCAAAGACAGAGATGCAAAATTATTTGCCATCTAAAATTATTCGAAATAAAATTACTTATATTTTTCACAATCTTTGTAGGTCTTCTACTCAGCATGTATTCTTCATATACCTGCCAGCAACTACTAATCTGCTGGAATTTACTTTACTGGTAAATTATGCATAGTACTGGATTACTATTACTATTATGCATTGCTCAATCCTTTATGATTAATTTGTACTATTTATTCTACTTAAACTGTACAAGAGTATTAGGTTTGTGAGAGGTGAAAATGTCCCAGGCAGGAGGCGTGGCAGACCCCACAATTTTGAGAGTATTGTATATGTACATATGTACAATATTGCATTTTCTAATCATCAGTAAGCGCTGATTAAGACGTTAATATTACTTTACAATACTTACCGCTTCGTCATTAATTTTTTGCCATTGACAAAAACTGTAGACGTCGATGTGCGCTTAACAGCTCCGTTGTGTGCACCAATACTACTGCTGGCGCTCGTGTGTGTTGTGCCACTGCCATTTGTCATGGACGAAAACGACGTAAAACCATTGGTGGGCATAAAAAAATCCATCATTGAATAGTTTAGCATAGGGGCTCCAAACGGGGAGGACAGCTTCTGTTGATGATGGTGATGATGGCGCGCACTTCCACCGCCATGACGTCTACTGCTGCCACCACTGCTGCTGCCATTTGACTGTGGGTAACCGTTGGCATCTAAAAGCCAAAGGTGAAACAAATTTGTAGAGATTTTGTGCAACTTAGTGGCTGCTGCGTTTGCATTGCCATTATAACTCACCTCTGAAGAAGTCGGCGAACGGCGAGTTCACCCCAAAGAACTCACGGAACACCTCCTCAGGTGGACGAAATACAAACGGAAAGCCACCCATAATGTCGAAATCATCAAATTCTTGTGTGTTGTAATGATGACGCGTGTGTGAGCGGTTTTGACTGCGGTCGCCGAGGCCGTCTTTGCCGTACTCATCGTATATGCGACGTTTTTTTTCTGAATGAAGACAGTAGAGGTGAGATGAGTAAAAGTTTGTAGACATTTCTTAGCATGGATTAGTAGCAAAGTCTTAGCGTGATTATTTTATAATTGGTCCTGCAGATTTAGTAGGCAAAAACTCGTGCGCAGTCAATCAATATTAAAATATATTAACAACAACAACAACAGCAGACTGAGCTAAAGTTTGTTTTACCAAAGAACTTCTGAAATGGTGTGCCCTCGAAAGAATTTCGAAAGGTGAACGTGTAATAGCGATTACCGCGCTTGGTGCTCCCACAGCTGGGATAATAGGAAGAGTAGTCATAGTCACGGCCCGATGAAGCAGCGTTGCTGCGATAACGAGAGTAATACCCGTTGGAGCTGCTGTTGCTGCTCGCTGAGGATTTGCGGAGTGTGGCGTGAGCGTCGTAGACCTTACGCTTACGTGCTAGACAAAGTGTGCAATTTAAATACAGTAGCAATTTTATTTTTGTATGTACTTATATTCTTAAATAGTATATGTAAAGTGTTCATTGAACTGACGCTTCCCGCCTGTCTGGTAACTTACCATCTGATAGCACTTCATATGCCTCGGAAAGTTCGCGGAACCGTTTGTTAGCTTCATCCAAGTTGTCTGGATTTTTGTCTGGATGCCATTTTAGGGCCAATTTTCGATATCTAAAGAAGGGAAGAAAAGTTTTGAGATATTGATGGATACAGATGTACTCGAATTGACAATGATTTAAGTAGCAAAATTGCACTATCCTCGTTTTGCAGTGACACTTACGCTTTTTTCACTTCACTATCAGTGGCTGTGCGTGGAACGTCCAAAACCTTGTAATAGTCTACCATGTTGTTGTTTGTGTGAAGTTTCTTGACTTGGATTTTAAAAAATTCCTAATTGTTGCTATGCGACTGAAAATGAAACAGAACATAAGTCGCATGGTTAGTGAGAACATTGGTTTAAAGACACAGTAAAATATATAGCGAAGAAGTTAAAACTAGTAGGGTTATATAGTACCGTTTGCACAGACACGTTATGAATTACAATTTTGTTGTTTTTGTCGTACGAAAGGCAAAGCGCAAAAACAGCAGACTCAAAGGGATCTGCTTTACAACGGAAACACAAAAGAGAGTTTCAAGTGTCAACTAAACTAACTAAAATTAGGGTAACTTGATTATTTTATTTTCAATTTTTTTTTGTGAATGCACAGACAGACCTACAAAAGTACTTATATGTATTCTTGATCAGTATGACAACACAAGTCGATTGTCTGTTTTTTGCCATTGACAAAAGCTATCTGTATGATCGCAAGAATAAGAAGAAAACCTAAGAAGAAAGAAAGAAAGAATAAGAAGAACCTTAAGAAGAAAACCTAGAAATCCGAAACTTGGTACCCAAAATTCGCCTAAATTCAAGAAAGGACAAGTATGTGCTTTTTTGGCACACCCCGCACTCCCAATTATTATATTTACTGAAATGTTTTACTTTCATTTGAATTAACATTTAGTTAGAACTTATAGGTCTTTATGCGATAGGTTAAGTCTAAAGGAAGTTATAAATGTAACCTTACCCAAGCTCTGCTCGTAGCTGCTGTTGTTGCTGCTTTGCCTCAACTCTGTACCGCACACATACACGCGTGGACATATACTTAATGTATAATATTGAAACCGTACAGACATATTTATACGTTTTATACATTCGGTATTTTATCAATTCAATTTTATTAATTTATCATTATACTCTCCACCTAAATGGTATAAGAGTACATTAGATGCAAAGTGAAAATTGTAACAGCTAGGAGGAGGCGTAGCAGACTGTATACTATATATTTCATCAGTATAACAAGGGGAGTCGATATAGCGCATTGCTCACATACACAAACACACGCGCATATACACAACCCGATGTGATGCTGTACATAAAAATAAGCCCCTACCTATGTGTTAAATATTATTATACCCGTAGAGTAAAAAGGGTATATTAGGTTTGTGCAAAATATGTAACAGGCAGAAGAAAGCATCCTCGACCGCATAAAGTAAATATAGTCTAAATCAGCATGGCGAGAGAAATCGATCTAATCATGTCCGTCCGTTCGTATGAATGAACGCAAGGATCTCAAAAACTATAAAAACTAGAATAACCAAAGTTGGTATCCAAATTCTCCGAGATCCGAGAAAGGACTTTTTTTTTTTTTTTAATTTCCTTCGCCCTTTCGCTACAGTATTACGTAAATACTGTCCACATTTCGAAAGCAACATAAACCCACCTTTGCACATGTAATCTATATACATTTTTTTCAATTTGTTTTAAATTTCATCCAAATCGACCAAGAAAAATTATTAGGGAAACAATTTCACTCCACGGCTGCGCCCACGAACTGCAGTAGCAAGTTCGCTCTTCTTCTTCTGTTATTGGCGCATATAATTCAGTGCCGGAACCTTGTCTGGGGTCAGGGTATATCAATGTCGGGCGTGCTCGACTGTAGCGTTCTCTATTGTTTTGAGTGGGTACAGCGTATTTAAGAGTTGGGGTCGCTCGACTGTAGCTTTCCATTCTTGTTATAGCCTGTACCCAAAGGGTGAAAGGCTATACTAGTTTTGTGCACATGTATGTAACACACAGAAGGAGGCGTGGCAGACCCCACAAAGTATATATATTCTTGATCAGGATGAGAAGCCGAGTCGATATAGCCTTGTCCTTGTTTGAGTTTTTTTTCGATGCACCCCGCCACTCTCCCACAATTCGTGTTTTTATAACTTCCGTAATTCTCGGAATTTTGAAATCATCCAATACATCCAGTTAGTACTAATGTGTCCGTATGCCAAATTTCATTATGATAGGTCAATTTTGAAGAAAGTTATAGCCATAAGTATAATCGCTGCTCATGCACTGCCTGCAGCGCTGCCCGCAGCTGTTGTTGTTGTTGCTGCTTTGGTTCAACTTTGTGCTGCATAAATACACGCATATAAACACGCATAGGTACGTGACGTAAATGTATGCTGTTAAAACTGAACATAAACATGTATTCTAATTTAATTAATTACTTCATTCATTTTTTTTTTAATTTTAATTTTTTTTTTAATTTTTCTTTTTTGTGGAGAGTACAGGCTATTTTACTGTCGGGCTTGCTCGACTGTAGCGTTCTATCTTGTTTTCTTTGAATGACTTAATTCAAATACACTTAATTATATTTTGGCATTTACTTACACAATAGGTGTATATACTTGTTTTCTTTTGTTTTTAAGCTCATGAGCACAAAGAAGTAAAAATATAGATTTTCATAGCAGTAACGATGCTACTGTTATTCTGATCGGATTAAACAAAACTAACAATTCCATCCCGGATTTGCAGAGTTATGAAAGAAAGGCTTTCTTCTTTTCCAACATTTTCCTGCCACCTAATTCTCCTATATACAAAGCAACTCATAGGTATACTATATATACGTGTATAAGTTATTATATATACAGCTGGCTTCTTCGATTTGTTGTATTTTATTTTAAATCATTTTAGTTACCCGCTGTGCCAAAAATAAAACACAGCACCCACACACTTTGTACTATATATCTATGTGAGCGTGTATGTAAGGTTATAAAGAGTAAATTTACCTATGTTGATAAAAAGCCCCTTGATGAGATGAAGCGGCCAAACAAAGATTGCTGCTCTAAAAAGTCTATTTTAGATTAAAAGAATAAAGTTCGTTTACTCCTGCAATTAATTCCAACAAGGAGGCGCGACAAACTCCACAAAGTACATATGGGCATTTCCACAAAAAAGTCAACCGCAGCCAAAAAATTCAAAGTCTAAAAGTATGACGTTTTAACATATGTATTTGTATAGAGAATCTATCAAATTTAACTAATTTAATCAAATTTTACATTTATTCATAACACATTTCGAAAAATTCAAATGCAAAGTCGAACAACTGCAAAAATTCTGTTTCACGTTTTGTTTTAATTACTGTTCTTAATGAGAGACATAATTCATTGATATTTATCCTTTAAATATAAGTTTATATTTAAGCAATATAAGAAAAATGTAAAAGTAAAGGTAAAGTAAAAGGTAAAATTTTGTCTTTGCTTTAAAGTATATTTCAATGTCGCGTGCGACAATTTCGAAAATATATTTTTTTTACTGACATTATTAAAGAAATTTGATGTATATAATTTTTACTAGTTCTCGCGTAAAGGGAGTTGAGCCCTCAATAATAGAAATGTGTGGCAAATAAAAAAAATGCATTTCAGGTTTATCCCAGTTTCATTCGTTTTGTTGCGATAGCATATATTTAAAATCATTTATAATCATCTTATGTACATACATATGCCTAATTGCATATAAAGTAAAAAAAAAATATAAAAAGTATGATGAAACAAAATGTCGCGTGCGACAGTGATTAAAACTAAATAATAAATAAACTACTAAATATTTTTAAATCAAATAAAAAACATTATAAACATTACTTCAGGTTTCGCTAAAATCAGTGTTTGAACTGTTCGCCGAGAAAGCGACTTCTGTATATGTCGCGTGCGAATGCCTTGGTTTTTTTAAATTATCTGAAAAATTAACCAATCCGCAAAATCCACCTTAGCACCAATAATAGAGCTAGTCAAGAGCTATAACTTTCTCCTTCTGTAAGAACAAAATTATTTTTTGGCATATGTTTTTCTTCACTTTGAATGTGTACGAATATCGCGTTCGACATTAGAGAAATGCCCATATATAATGGATCAGCATGGTGAAATAAAATAGCACCATATGTACATGTATGAACGCAACGACATTGAGTATCAGAACTAGAATTACCAATTATACTCCTTTCAAAATTACTTGTGCGTGTTTGCCGTTATGTCAAGTTTCGTCTGAATATGTTAGCTACTAAGTTCAACTTGAAGAGTATGATTCTAGCCTTCCATCCTTGTTTTTTGTTTGTTTTGATGCTTACATTTATCAAATGTTTATGAAGGGAATGAAGCGTAAGAGGGGAAAAACTTGTTGGGCTAGAAGGTATATTGTGCGGGTGTAACGACGACGGCGGCTTCAACAACGAATTGTGCATCCATATATACGCCAAACTAAATAAGGCAAAGTCAGCTTTTTAGCGACTGTGGCTTTCAGGTACATCACAACTACAAAAGAGCACAAGCGGCAATAAACCTGTAGCGACCGAGCTAATGAATAAGCAACCGCCCAAGAAACCAGATGATGATCTCAATTAAGATATTTTTATAGTGTTTGAGCTCCATACGCGATTTTCGTATGTGACTAAACGGTTTTAGTAGCATGTTCAATGCGCGCAACAACAGAACGAGGAGTGGCAAAGGTATAAACATGATTAGCATGACGCGAAGAATCGATAGATGGTCTCCTGTCTGTTTCCATGCAAACTAGTCCCTCATATTTATTAAAAAGGAAACCAACAAAACTACAATATCTAAAACCCCTCGGACAAGTTAGAGTGGATTTTATTTTCTTTTCGGCAAGCTATTGTCGTTAGATAAATTATTAAACCTTGCAAGCATCAAATGAAAGACAATTACACAAAAAATGAAGAAGGGTGAATACCTAGGACAACCATTCTGTTAGCATAGTAAGGTGATGAATTTATTTGAAACACATAAATTTATATTAAATAGTCTAACCGTAAGCTCCTCTGAGTAAAGAACGAAACAAGGAATGATTGCTAGCGTAGAGTGCAACTTTTAAATAACCCTGTACCCACCCACACAAAAACAAACAAGAGAGAACGCTACAGTCGAGCAAACATAGATTGCGTGTGCGAAGTTTGGTTTATGTAGCTTTTGAAATGTGGACAGTATTGATCAAATTCTGTAGCGGGCGAAGGGGGAGAAAATTGCAAAAAATAAAAAAAATCGTCCTTGCTCGGACCTAGGAGAAGACAGACGTACGGACATGTCTAGATAGATTTCTCTCGTCATGCTGATCAAGAATATATATAATTTATGGGGTCGGAGATGCTTTTTTGCCTGTTACATAAAAAATATAAAAAATTATCTATTACAAATAGATTTTTTATTAATTTATTTATATACTGTACCCGTATGGTAAAAAGGGTATATTTGGTTTTTGCAAAGTATGTAACACCAGAAGCATCTTCGATTCGGCCAATTCTAAGAAAAATTATGAGCGAAACAATTTCATTCCACGATTACGCCCACGAACCGCAGTAGCAAGTTCGCTCTTCTTCTTTTTGCTCTGTACATATGTGTAGAATAATTATGCGTGTATTTGTGTTTGTCTGTGTATGTCTCGTGTGCCTGAGAAAAGCAGTAACAACAACAACAGCTGCGGGCACTACTTTGTCTTATGTACATATATGGCTATAACTTCCTGTTTAATCGGTATATCGTGATGAAACTTGGCATTTGGACTTATAATAACTAAATGGAGGTATTTGCCAAGTTTGAGTTCCAAATTCCAAGAATTACGGGAGTTACGATTTGAGGGGGAGAGGGGGGAGGGAGGGAAATTCCAAAATACACATTTTCTGCGTATTCATATAAGGCATCTGGGACTAAAATTTGGTGTCCCTAGGTCTTATAGTTTCCGAGATATAGGCGATTATACGAATGGAAAATCGGGAAAACCCCCATAGGGGGGAAGTGAGGGGAATCAACAAAATAAAACAAACTTGCACAGCGTACACACATAAGGCATCTTTGTGCAAAATTTGGTGTCTCTAGCTCTTATAGTCTTTGAGATCCAGGTGTTCATACGGACAGACTGACAGACAGACAGGGCTAGATCGACTCGTCTCGTCATGCTGATCAAGAATATATATACTTTGTGGGGTCTGCCACGCCTCCTTCTGTCTGTTACATTTTCAGCTCCCGCAAACCTAATATACTCTTGTACATTTGACAAGGTGCAATTCAAAAGTTCCAGGACTTTTATTAAAAAACGAAAACTATTTTTTTTTTTTTGAAAAATTTATTGGTCGCCTTCAAAATAGTCTCCATCCGCCTGAATACAACGTTTTGCACGTTCAAGAAGGTGATCGAACGACTTTTTTAGCTCATTTGTCGGTATAGCGTTGAGGATGGCGGTCGCCGCCTGTTGGATGGCATCAACGTCAGCATAGCGGTTTCCTTTCATAGGCAAATGCATTTTTCCGAAAAGATAGAAGTCGCACGGTGCCATATCAGGTGAATACGGCGAGTGGTTAATGGTTAAAATGTGATTTTTGGTCAAATAATCGGTCACAAGCGTTGATCGATGAGAGCAATTTCAATGATGATTTCGGATGATTTTTGATGAATTCACGCACAGTTTCGATGGAATTTTCGGTGATCACGAATTTTGATTGGCCCACATGTTGATCGTCATTTATGTCCTCACAACCACTTTGAAAATGTTGAAACCACTCGTGCACTCTGCTACGGGATAGGCAATCATCGCCATAAACTTGTTCCATCAATTGAAACGTTTCGGAAAAAGTTTTACCAATTTTAAAACAAAATTTAATGTTGGCTCTAGCTCATTTTCCTACCGATAACACAAACATGCTGACACTTAAAACGCAATAACTTCACTTCCAATCGATGAAATGTCATGGAATTCTCACTGGACAATCGATAAAGATAGCAGATTCTAACGCACCAGTCGACATATAGATAGCGCCACCAGGGGGCGCTAGATTCAAAAAGTCCTGTTTACTTTGGAACACACCTTGTATGTACAGAGTATAATTCAAGATATTTAAAAACTTGAACAATAAGTAATGAAATTGAATTATTATATGAATTCACATAACGCATCTGGTGTCACTAGCTCTTATAGTCTCTGACATCCAGGTGTTCATACGGACGGACAGAAAGGGTAAGATTGCCCTGTACATCAATAAGAGTGTCCATGCGTGACTATGTGTTTGTGAATGTGTGAAGTACACGGTTGCGTCAAATCAGCAACAACAACAAAAACAGTTGCTGGCAGAGCATGGACGAAGATTACACTAATCGCTATAACTTCCTTTAAATACATCGACATACATATATATTGTTGGGTCTCCCACGCCTCCTTCTGTGTGATAAATACATTGGCACTAAGCTACCCACAAATACCCTTTTATGTATGTATATGCCTGATTATGCGTGCCGTGCAGAGTTGAGTCAGCAAAGTCAACAGCTGTCGAGGCATGGCTAGAGATCACATTCACGGCTATCATGCATTGAGAAATACACTATCCGAGATCATTCCGTTCATATGGACTCGTGTTGTCGTACGCACTTTGTGGGGTCTGCCACGAATCCTCTGTGTTGCATGCTTTCTTACTAAACTAGTATAATTTTTAGGTAAAGGGTAAATAAAATGGCTTGAAGTTACGTGATACGAGCCCCACGATAGGAAAAAAGTATAATTCGACGGTTTACGTACATGGTATCTAAAATGAACTGGGGTAAATACTAAAATATTAAAGAAAACAAAGTGCAAGTTTCTAGATTTTGAAAGTCAACTTTCTCCTCTATGGCAAAATTGCATTGGCTTTCCAAAGTTGTCAGTCTTCAAGAGCTCATATAGGGATTAACAGAGATTGTAAAGTGACTGGACAGCGACAAAAAAAAAACTGCGAATTAGATCTGCGAAGCATTGATCCTAATCATCAGGTCGAAGAATCATTGTTTTTCAGAGTCTTAGAAAATATAGTCTTTCCTATAACACTTTTAAGCTATAGGGTTTTGTCCGATCTGATTCAAAACTCATACGTTACTCAGTACATATGTCTATATATGTATATGTATATATACAAAAATATTGAGGCGGCTCATAACAGTATATACAGATTAAGTAAACACAATAAACAGAAATTTGATACCAACGATTGTACAAAAATAACTAGGTTTCTACGGTGCATTCGTTATAAATTTAGTGAATAATGAGTGTTTTTGCATTAGTTGGAAAGAGAGGGCACTTTATCAAATTTTAAAATTGTGATAATTTTTTTGTTAAACAATTTTGTATGTATTTAAAGACAAGAGTTTTATGCTGCCCGACTTACCGTTGTAGTTGCTGTTGCAGTGTTTAATTTGTTTTCCTTGTTGTTTTAATTACAACTGAAAAGCTTCCTCCTTTAGCGTGTACCGTTTAAACATATATGTACATATGTACATACGCACATTCATATACATACATAAAATATACAAGAATTGAACAATATTTAATTAGCTGATTATAGATCGCTCTTTTTTACACAACCCCGAAACGAATGATAAAGCAATAATTAATAAAAAAGCACAATATACGATATGGAAAAAGGCAAAAACTATAACTGAGAACCACAGCCACAATGTTTTTTTTTTTATTGATTTTTACATAAAACGTTCACAGTAATATAATTGCATTTATCTACTCAGAATAACTGAATAGTTTGGAATAGTTTTATGGATTTGCAATGATGAGCACAGCAAGAATAAACACAAAAGAAATTGTCTCACATACATACATATGTATGTATGTACGTATGCACACACAACACGAGGCTTACTTACATACATATACATACATATATGTATGCATTTCAATGTAAACTTGTGTGCTGTCGGTTTTTTATTTTTCGTTTACTATATTGTAATTAATAAAGCACTAATTGAATTGCGGTTTTGATAGTTCGAATCATTTTGTAGAACGCAGCGCGCGTCTTTTTTTATAAAAAAAGAAAATTATAAAATTCACGAAATGCGACGAACCTGCAACTAGCGGTGAAGAACGACAACAGTGTGATACCAGATGTTCAACTCAAATTAACTTCACATGGACAGTGTGAAAAGCAATAGTGAGTGTCTCAGCTAAGTGGAAACGAATAAGTAAAAAAGGGATAGCTACACAACCCTCTTATTGTGTATGCATGAGTAGAATCGTGCGCAGAAGCAGCGATGGCAATTTTTACGAATATAGTGTAGGTATCGTTATCGGCTTAAAGATGTTGACAGCCCTATTTACTTATTTTATATATCAGAGATGATGAGCCGTTAAATTGAACTTGAATATAAAAGTTATCATAGTCCATATGACAAACGTAGTGTGCAGAAGTGATTTTTGACATTTAACTAAGAACTAGAACTACGAGTTTTAATCGTAAATTTTCTACGTTTATGCGAAATATTTTGTTTAAAATAAAAGGCAAAATCGTTGTTCTAGATAACGTAATTTTTGTGTTGTTTCATTTAACTTTTTGATACTTTTTTGGATCAATATTCGTAAAAATGCAAACAAATCCAGGTACCCACAGTGCATACAAGATGGAACAAGATGCACTTTAAGTTATACATTGTTTATTATTTTTATAAGTTGCTTAACTTACATTTATGTTGCTTAAATACATAAAATTAAATTAAATTCTTAGCCCTTCTTTGCAGCCCAAAAAAAATAAATCTTTTGCAGGCTTGTTTCTTGTTATTAATCACTAACTTGAGGACTTAAAAATAAAACGTTCCAGGCTCACACCTGCTATTGAATTCAACAATTTTCATACATTTACTAACGCAATTGTTTGTTTTGTTGCTTATTTGGTTTATGTGCGTTGTTTACACTACATAAAATTTGACTAACATATTTATTTGAGCTTGCTCGTTTTTTTGAGCTCTTAAACTAACGTAATGCTGAGACCCTGTGGCAATCGAAAATTACTGAGCTTTAAATCCACATCAGTTCCGTTGATTCCAGTCTCTTGGGAAACTTGAGATTTTTCATTGTTAATGTGGTTGCCAACGTGCATATTGCATTTCTCTTCCATGTCGGAAATCTGATAGCACAGTCGGCGGCGCGCCCTTTTTGTGGTTGATCCTGTGGTGTTTGGAAGAACTTCCGATATTGAATTCCGAAATTCCAGCAATATCTCATCGTTTTCCAAGTTCTGCATCCAACAAGGACGTTGTTTGACAGGACTCATAATTTTAGGCGGCCCCAGCCATGCGCACTCAGGCTGCTCCATACTCAGTGTAGTGCCTAGGCGCCGAAACATGGCTACCACTTTCCCATCCACGCGTGGCTGCTGGTATTTTTGGGTTTTCTGCTGTTCACTTTGGTTATGGCTATAAAATGTGGTTTGTGAAAGCTGATTAACTTTTTTGACTAGACTTTTGGCTTTGTTCCGCAAACGCTTCGCAGTTTGCCGACATATTCTGCAACGAGACAGAGCGGCTCGCTTAGGATCGGGTAATGATGGCTTCACCGCCGTTAGGATCTGTCGGAAAATAATATTATGCCCGCGGGTCCAACAATTGTGCCGCATTTTGTGTGTCCGTAGCACGGCTGCACCTCGGCGAAAGCTTCGCTTTGTGTAGCTTATAGGCATGGCCGTTCTTATGGACTGTGTAGAGGCCTGTTTTGCATCTGCGGATGTGGTACTAAGCGGTGGGTTATAATCCAGCAATAGGCGTGGCCGGACGCAAGCTACCGGCCGCACTTTTGCAGACACTTGAATTCGAGGGGCCCCGGCCGCCTGATCCTGTTCCTGGGCCAGGCTGTTGCTACTGCTCATGTGGGAGGGGCTTTGGCTGTCAGCATCGTTGCTGTTCATCGCCTGCAATGAGTGCCAATTGATCAACCAATTGTTGCAGCTGAAGCAAAGGTACTTGTCCTCGTTGATCGGCTGTGAATGAAGAAGAATAGCGTTGCTATAGTACTTAAAATTAATCAATAAAGTTGTTAACAACAGAGAGCTTTGCAGTCGAGGAAGCTGGATGGTAAATGGTATTTACAGAAAACCTATCTCCACTACAAATTTAACGGACAGTGAATAAATTTCAGACAAACCATACACACATTTGGTGAGGACATGCGGATAAAGTTGCCACTTATTGTATTGTCATCGGTCCTTAATAAGTTTTAAAAGTTTCAGTTTCCATCGCAAACATTGAGATCTGGAATTGTGAACAGTATTGACAAAGTTCTGTACACAAAAACTGCTGCTGCCAAGACAAAAAAATATTCTGCTAATGAGCTTACAGATCTTTTCAATGTGCGTCTGGTGTGGCAAATATTGGAAAGAAATTATATTAAATAACAATTTGCATGCAAAAATCAACACAACGTAAGAAATGGACTATGTTAATTACCACATCAACTTTGTCTTATTTCGGTTCTTTTTTCCCCTTTTTTTTTTACCGAACAAAGCTTGCAACGCACCTGCCTTCGAAAATTGCTTTTACAAAAGGTAGCAGCTGCCCAAAAGGTAATTCAAGCCTGTCGGGAGTAAGCGGAAAGGTGCAACGGTGCCAGCTAAACTGAAACTCGTTTCTGTGTGGGGCACACGCAGCCTTATCAAAAGAGGTAGGCAATAAGCGGCGACCTAAGCATGGCATTAGGCACGCGCAATCGCAGGCGCGACAGCTGCTTAGAATTAGACCAGGAATGGGAATGCGTATAATTGCAGACAAGCTGGCAGGCAGGCAGGCAAGCAGTCGCAAGATCAGTGGACGCGCAACAAAAAAACATTTTCAGTTTACACAACAACGTTCGAAATATACGCGTACGTAGTAAAGAGAACGAGTGGAACAGAGGTGGGGAAGGGTGAGAGATTTGGCCCTTTTGTTCGATCGCCTGTATCTTACGAGTATTGTGCTTTGTGTTTGCCCTGCCGGCTGTTGTTGCAAGTACCTTTTTATTTTGCAAGGTAGTAAAGGTGTTTCATATTCAAACTGACAGAGCCGTGTGGAAACGGCAAAATAAAGAAAATTGAAGGCCAGGTGTAATGCAAACTGCTGCACAACACACTCACACACACACATATATACTAAGGGTCATGCCTACTTGTACGCATACATGGACGTCTGTATTGATGTCATATAGACTTGCATGCATGTATTTGGTGCAGAAAGTGGCAGATGCATGATTACTGGGTCAAGATGACTTTAAGGTCTTTAGAATTCATCCACCACCCAGAGTGATTGATTAATCGTGTTGCGAAGAAAGCTGTTTGCAGCTGATATACTAGTATGAGAGTAGCCCGCGTACGAAAATGAAAATACAAGTATGCTTAGAAAATGAAACACCTTTTAAAATAAAGATTACTACTATCAGCTTGATTTTGACTAAGCTTTTGATCAGATTTAACTAGACCGTATATCGTACATGGTTATAAATCTGCTGCTTAAACTTTTTAAACACTTTTAAGCTGTAAGACTTCCATATCATTAATATACACATGTACTATATATTTTTTGATGAACTGTTTATTTATGATTCTTAAGTATGTTGCAACAATATTCTTTACAGTTTCCGAGAGAAAATAAGTTCACCGAAACGTTTAAATGACTTTAAAAGAAAAGAAAAAGAAAAAAACGATGTTTGTGTTTCCTGTTTGATTATGCATGCTACTAAGTGGTATTTAAAACAAAATCGAACCACCCGCTCAAAAGATATCGGAAGTAGACATAAAATGAGGAAATACTGTTCTGGGACTGTCACCGTTATAAGATTTATTGTAATAGAACTGAACAGACTTAGCTCTTTCCTCACAAATTCATATTAGAAATGTTGTGAAATGTGTTACTTTCGCTACTAGGTTTATTTCCTCGTCAAGAGGTTTTTATATTGATTTTATATATCGGCGATGTGCGAAAGTAAGTAAACGGATAAATGCAAAGCAGTTTATTTAAAAGTAGTTGCAAATACAGTTGGCGTTGCTCGCCAATATTTTGAGTGACGGAAGATTCGAAACGATCGACCGCTAAGAAAACCTTGCCTCAAGCAAACAAAAGTTGCACAAAAGAATGGTATGGTTGAAGAGCATAGATATGTATGTATGTATGGCCCTTTATTCATGTATAAATGTGTGCGCCGCTTCCTCGAACAGCTGCCTCCGCTCGTGAGTGTCCATTGGCTGCGAGAAAGCAGGTAGCCAGCCTTCTTGGTAATTCAACACCTTCCTACAACTCCTTAGAGCTGCCTCATTTTCATTTTCCTGTAGTTATTAGAACAAGTTGTCGACAATTATGCGCAGATAAAGGCAATGTCAACGAAAGCACAAACTAAAGGCCACGTTTATTATGTGTCTGGAGAAAATTTAAGGTATTCGATTACAAAAAAATCAACATACGCCAGCTGCAGCACCGGATATGCAGGTTGCTTCGCATACCGTTCAATATGACATGCAAACCAATCGGTTTGTATTTCTGAGAGAATAAGTTCGACTGGCAAAAGGCCCTGGATTCCGAATACAAAATAAAAATTGTTTTCCAAGGCCTGCCGCCATGGATTTTGAAGTGCTCAAGTTTAGATGCTTAACAAGGACTAAACGCGAATCTCAAAGATGACGACGATAACAACGGTTATGGAATCTAACTACGGGGCCAAGGTACATACATATATGGTGGTTGCTAGTTGCGTTCATCCCCTTTAACCTAAAAAGCGTGTATTGCCGCCACTTGCACAGACACACACATTTACCGAGGCTTTTACAAAGGACGTTGGCAGCATGACTCATATCGTGTTTATTGATTTTTTTCGTTGCTGTGCCGTTTCTTATTTTAGGCGTGAAACGTACCTGAAATTTAAATTTTGCCTGAATTAGTTGCACAATATTAGGTCCAGAGCGCGGCTCGTAAATATTTATCGTTTGATTTGTATGGCAGCCGCAAATGAGGCAGGTACGTTTCAGGTATTCTGAGGAGGCGGCTGACACCACTGCGACATTGGGGGTGGGCTCTTGTGGGGCAGCTTGATTATCCGCCGACATTTTATCAGTTAACGATTATTCTATTTGCTTCAGCCGTCGTTTAATTCCACTTCTGCACTGTTAAGCTCTTGGCCACTGAAGTCACAAGCAAGCAGAATACATATGCATGTATTTATAAAAGCCTGCATACAACCGTCATAGGATGGCACACAAGAAAAAGTAAGTACTGCGGCGCGACGTCCTTTGCGTTGCACGCTCAAAAGCCGAATGAACCACCGAGCCTGCTGAAATGTCCGACTCTCTCGCCTGCCCGCTCCTGCTGAGCGAGTTTACTGTTGAGCTCTCTTCATTGCATTGAACTACACACAAAAACAAGTGATACGAACACACGGATACCATATACATACACTCACACATACATACACGCAATTACGAACGCATGTACACTCTTAGTTAGAGGTGGTTCAAACCTGTATCCCAAGGGTTAAAGAATGCTATGACAGCGTTTGGTTTATGTAACAACGAAAGCTCTACCACACGAGGATATACCTCTTTCTAGATTTTGATCAGCTGTATTAGAAATTAGAATTATACATTGTGCCACGGCCTGTCTGTTATATTTTTTTCACTTCCCGCAAACCAAATACATATGCTCTTTCACATTTACTATAATGCTTGTCCTTGTGTCCGTTGGTTTGTCAGGCTGTTTCCATGACCAGCATCTCCGAAAATATTACAGCTGCCACATTGAAATACTTATATTGCATATAAGCTTTATATTGCTAGCAGATTATTTGTTGTAATACCCTACCATAACTGTCATTGGAACTTTCACCCAATTTTGCGAATGCCTTTTATGCAAGTAAAGCTATCGAGTTTTACAAACATGTATGGGTTTTCTAAATTTAAGCTTACACAAAATACTCACAATGGACTCAAATCTGACGCCTTTATACGCCTAATACTGTACATAAACTAGAGTTAAATATTTCGTTCTGCTTATGAAGAATATACAAGATGAATCCTAATTAAGGACATTTTAAAAAGACCCCTTTTGGTGTCACATATATATTTTTGCGTAGTTAGGCGGCTTATCGGTAACATCGACATTTATAGAAGTCGAGTAATTGCACACAAAGAAACATTGTTTGTTATACTCTGTACTTGTACATAAAATGTACAAGAGTATATTAGGTTTGCGGTAGCTGAAAATTTAACAGGCAGAAGGAGGCGTGGCAGACCCCACAAAGCCAGTTTGTTTTATTTTTTTGATTTCCCCCCACTATGGGGGTTTTCCCGATTTTCCATTCGTATAATCGCGTATATCTCGGCGACTATAAGACCTAGGAACACCAAATTTTAGTCCAAGATGCCTTTTGTGAATACGCAAAAACTGTGTATTTTGGAATTTCCCTCCCTCCCCCCTCTCCAATGCAATTCATAACTCCCGTATTTCTTAGAATTTCGATCTCAAACTTGGCAAATACCTCCAGTTAGTGATTATAGGTCCAAATGCCAAGTTTCATAATGATAGGCCGATTTAACAGGAAGTTATAGCCATATATGTACATAAGACCAAGCAGTGCCCGCAGCTGTTGTTATTGTTACTGCTTTGCTCAGACACACGGGACATACACAGACACACACAAACACACATATGTACAGAGTATTTCGAAGTCGGGATACCCGACTGTAGCTTCTCTACTTGTTACAGCTAGTCCTTGTATCATGCCTACAACGAGGCAAAAGGTGCGTATTTTTATCACGCTGTCATGTACGAGCAGTATGTTCTACTTCTCAGGATGTGTTTTTGACCACAAACTCGAAAAAAGATACATACACACACACGTGTGTAGTTATGTTGCAGCTTGCGTGTTCGGAGCAACTGGCTTTTTAAGATGAACAGATGTTGACAGATGTTTTTTCGTTTGCTCGCTCTCGTGGGATAACCGGTTAGGAAGCCGCCTCTTACTACGCATAGCAAGCGCTGGCTTGTAGTAAACAGAGAATTCTTTTGCATGAATGAAATAATATCGGTTCGCAAGAGCCGAAGCGAACTGTTTTTGGGTGGCACTGAGCTCAAAACCCGAATTGGCGTTCTTATCACAAAAGTGTTCTCCCATTTCTTATGTTGATTTATGAACTAAATACTTCGGTTTGGATAGCGAGCTACTATGGAGAAGATTTTGCTGTCAACTATTTTGTTCACCAGTTGATTGTTGTTTAATCTTTTCGAATAATTTCTCCTAAATACACTATTATGTTTTAATATTCTTAATACTTAATGCTAAAGTGAAATAGAGATGTGGTATAAATACAAAGTGTAAGCAGTCGACATACTCGTACTATATACATATATTGTCGTTAATTAAGGATATTGCAAATACTTAAGTGTGTTCAATCAGTTTTCCCCACTTTTAATATTAATACTAATCTAAATTACAAGTAGCCGGTAAACGACAATATTAATAATAACAAAAAAGTTTTTAATATATAAATACATACAAACATATATATTATTTATTTATTAAGTTTAAGATTTTTATTTGAAAGTAATTTTCTAAACTTTTTTGTTATTATAACTAAATATATATCCCTATATTTATAAAACCGTTTTTTCTGACTGACTGATTTGTGATCAACGCACAGCTCAAACGGTAATACTTGGTTTTTGGAGATTTTTCTTGGGGCCTGAAATATGGGAGTTTTTCTGTAAACAAAATTTTGGGGCACAAAAGGAAACCGCGTCAACAGTCCACAGCCCAAACGGTAAAAGCTAGGAACTGGGCTCAACTATCCTATTATAATGTAGGTGTGCAGTAAGAAGGGATTTTTTAAAATTCGAGCTCCAAAGGGGGAAAACGAACTCCAAAGTTTGTTCGAAAAGTCCACATTTTTCAACCGATCGACTTAAAACGTGGTTCTAAAATCAATAAAAGAATACAAATAAAATTGCATACTCGGTGTTTTCAAATTTGAGCTTGGAGCTTGAATTATTGGGGTTTTTATATTTTTTCACTTTTTTCAAATGAAAAGATTGTGTTATTAATGTTGTCCGATCGATTTCAAATTTGGTATCCGTAATCAACATAACTATATATGTATACAAATTGGCATTCAACGATTTTCTAAATATAGATATATGTTTTTTACTTGGGTTGCCCTCATAAATGAGGACTGTATGTATGTATGTATGTCGGTGTTAAATTTTACAGTGTTTAATTCAAATAACTTTGCAAATTGTACAGCTTTTAATTCTAGAAATTACTTGCCTTGATTTATCCCTATCTATACTAATATTATAAAGAGGAAAGATTAGATTGTTGGTTTATTTGTTTGAATGGAAAAGGCTCCGAATCTACTGGACCGATTTAATGGATTCTACACTGTTGGGAAGCTACACTATCGACGGTTAACATGGGCTATATTATATTTACTAAAACGCTAATATAGTAATGTAACCAAAGGCAATGTTATTCAAAAGCCCCCAGCCAAATAAAAGATTATAAATCGATCGATACCGTGATTAATATTGAAGACATTTAAATTCACTAAACCCTTCTGGACTTCCGCCACATGAATTGACGGTAAAATTCGGAATTGCAACCATGCTTTCATGCAATCATGCTTTATAAATAAAAGCCCAGCAACTGGTCAACTAGCTCATATAACGAGGATACCGATGATCCCATTTGATCATTTATATGCCTTCAATTTCCGAATTAGTAGGGATCGACATACGAAAGCAATGTTTTACTGTATGTTGACCTTCACGGGTCGGAGCTCCTGAAAATCAATTTATTTTCCTACCACAAAATAAAACATCAAATACCTTTTACAGGGAACCTTTGACCTAATAAAGAATAACAATAAAATCTACAAATTAACAAAAAATCATTAAAATAATAATATCCAAAATAAATTTTACTCCTTCTTAGTAACTTTTAGCAAAAAGAAGGGTGTATGTGTGTTATAATATGTACTTGTATAATTTTAAAATTTTTTGTAAAAATACCCGTGGGAAGCAGGGATAGGACGCTAGTCATACTATAAAAATAAATATACATATGTATTCACATATAACCATACATAGTATTTATTGTATTTTATGTCCTAGCTCTCGAATCGTGCCAAAGTAATTTGCTGTTTGGGAAAAGAACTCTTTAGAGTGTCGGAAGAGAAATATTATATAGTAAATAACCGTATAATGGTAAGCACAAATACTGAGCAAAGACGGGCAAGACCTGCTAGTGATCTCATATATCCAATTTGGAAGCAATTCGTACAACTTTCCAATATAACTTAAATAAATGGCTGACTAATCACTTCTAATGCCTTTAATTAATTCCTTTTTGGTAGAATACTGTCTGCCAGATTCGTAAACTTTGCGAACCAGGCATCCCCACACGTTTTCTATTATATTTACGTCCGGTGAGTAAAGCGGCCGCTTCAATAAATCGAAGTTTTGTGATTCAATCCAAAATTTGATCACCCGGGGGCAGTATGTATGAATCGAAGCATTGTCGTGTTGAAAACATCCAGGGAAATTACCAAGCAAATTTTTGAAATGGGGAAAAGCAGTTTTCATTACGTTTTTATAAGTGTTTGCATTCATATTGGTGTGCAAAAATTACAACTCTCACGTAACATAACAGGAGATAGCTCCCCACACCATTACATCGCCCACACGAATATGAAGTCGAACCAACTGATGTCCCTCCTTCCGAAGATTTTGGAAATAAAAGTTATATCCATCGGATCATTCCAAACCACATTTCTTTTCATCCGAAAAGAAAACAAAGCTCCAATCAAAATTTAAGCAGAGTTTGATTTAATCGCAATTCCTTCCGACCATAGTCTAATGGAGGTTTTTTCTTAAGTTTTAATCTTTTCAAATGTGCAGCATTCCTTATCATCCTTTGAACAGTAGATAAGCTAGCTTCAACGCCAACATTTGCCCTGATCTTTGCGGTTTGATTATTCTAGCTCTTATACTCTCTGAGATCCTTGCGTTCATACCGACAGACGGACAGACGGACATGGCTATATCGATTTGGCTGATGTATGTGGGTGTGCTCACCTGATGACGCGCAGTGTACGTACATACATATGTACATGATAGCAAGTGCTTGAATACCCATCAGGACGGGATCAGTCGGGTCGCCCA